TGGCAGTTTGTCAAACACAGCCTTTAGCTCAGCAACACCCAGGCCATGTTCAGCTGGGCACAGCACAGGGAGCAGGATGGGAAAGTTGGCCTCCATTTCACACTGCAAACGGAATCTGGTTTCTGCCAGACAGCTTTCTGTGCTCTCTGGACCACCCCAAAAGAGGTGTTTTAACATCACTGAGGTAGCATTACTGTGATCAGCCTAGTCCTTACCTTCAGAAATGGGTGCCCCACGCTGGAATGTGCAGAGGGGCTGTGGATCACACAGGCCATATGTGGGGGCACGGTGGGGTTCCCACCTTTCAGGGCCGGTACAGCAAACTGACTGCACATCCCACTCTGCTTCCCACTGAAAGGGAATTGGCCATGTGAGCAGCAAGAGAGCCATGGAGTGTTCCTCCTCCAAACTGACCAAGAGTGGGACCATGGCATGTCCTATGGAGAGCATTTACCTCACCTTCAGATAGTGAGTGGGAACACCAGGTGAGGCTGCTGGACAGGACAGAAGTCAGGCAGGTGCAACATTGTTGACCTTGCTGACTATGAGGTGGAGAGGGACCTGGGAAGTCTCATAAATTCAGGGGGCACTGGAACAGTTTCACAGAGAACTTGTTGATGCCCCATCCCCGGAAGATTCAAGATCAGGTTGGATGTGTGGGGTTCTGAGGAACCTGGTGTAGTGGAAGGTGTCCCTGCCCATGGCAGGGGCATTGGAACTAGATGGTCTTTAAGATGCCTTCCTACCCAAGCCATTCTATAATTCTGTGATTGTGAGTAGTTTAGACTTCTCCCTCCAAATAATATTATTTTGTGCTTAAATCACTAAGGATGACCTGCATTTGCCCTGTCAGCTCTTCAGTACTCTTCTCCAGCTATCACTGCTGTCCCCCACAGCTGGAAGTAAGTTTTGGCTCAACTAAGTAAACTTTGATCATCAAAGTTTGCAAATTTTGGTGCTCGTCCCTCTTTCTAGATATATCATGCTTGTGTTGGAGCCTACTTTGCACGAGTGCCAATCCCCTGAAAACAGGCCCATTAGAGAGCAGCAGCATTCATTAATCCTCAAACATATAATGCAGACCACAAGGAGCTTTCCAAGGGATTTGGCAGGGGCAGGCAATGCTTTGACTGTGTTTGTGAAAGATCTGTTGTCTGAATGGAGTCACCTCAGATTTCTTGCCCCTAGAGAAAAAACCTCTACAGCACACACATGGAAGGGATCATCAAGCATTTACAGAGGCCACAAAGGTTTGGGATTTCTTCAAAAAGTTGGTAACGAGATTGTGTAAGAATCAAATAACCTTGCAAATAGCTGTATCCCATTAGTCATGAGAGCAAATGCTGGGCTGAATTAAATGTTTATTGTGTCTTATGAAGTGTCTCTGTACACATAACCTTGGGCAAGACCCAGAAATTCTGGGCTCTGCATTTGAAAGGCAGCTGGCTAAACAGCCATGGCAAAATAATCAAAAGAGCACTGTTTATTTGCTCAATACATTAACCAAGTGATTAGCTGAGAAATGGGAGAACCAGAAGAAAGAAGAAATATTTCCCTTTGTCAATGCAGTCTATTTTTCAGACTTTCCACCAGCATTACACATTCCTGGAAAACAAAACTCCAAAACAAAGCTCAAAATACCTCAATTCAATCATAAAAGCTTTTCCCAAACTGAATGATCAGCTCGGTGCATTGCTCAGACCTTCATGTAGCTCTTACTCCCTCTGTCATAAAGTTTGAAAGGCAGTGAGATAATCATACCTAACTTACAAGCCTGCCTTATGAGAAGTAAACATTAATTCAAGAGTTCTGGAGGACTTCAAGCAACCAAACCTTGGTACCTTCTTGTTATTTAGTTATTCCTGTATCTCTCTTTTAGCATCTGAGACTTCCACAGGTGACTGCTTCTGATACCAGACAATGAGTAAATCTGCTGTACATTGTGTCATTCTTGATGTAAGCTGGTTCAAATAAAGTATTTAATTCTGTTTGAGAATTCTTACTTTCATTTGTTCCCTCCTGGTTGTCCAGGCTCCCCACTCAGTCCTTCCTAAGTTACTGTACCTCATATTCTCAGACACTAATTATTTGCAAATTCTTTCCGCAGACCTCCTACCTGCTGTGGTTACTGTGCTCTTAGCTTTGTAGCACACAGAGAAAGAATGTTGTTCTTCCTCTACAGGACAATTATAGAGAAATATTTTTCACCTGTTTATCTACTGAATCTCTAATTAATGTTATATCACTTTCAGAAGATCACATACAGGTAACCCAGGAATCCCCACACTGCTGGAAACAAGCTGGAAAACAAGTGCTTACAGAGTGTGTGAAATGCTAATAAGCAATCCTGAATTTCTCACTTCAGGTGTAGAACAGGACTGATCCTCTAAGGGCCATGAAGATAGTGAGCGATAGAGGTCAAAGCACTGGACTTAGGGCCATTTGAGGCACCGTAGGATGCCTTTGCTGTCCACCAATTTCTGCTCTCAGTGCCCCATCAGTCCTGTGTCATCTGCCAGGTCTGTGCAGATGTGCCCAAGACTCTCAGCTGTCTAAGTGACATTACAGAGTATCTCTGGGCCTTTGCCCCCACCATGGCCTCCACTGGGTTCAAATCCTGATCGTATCAAAGCCAGATTTAGTACTACCTTTGGATCTGCACTTGGGCTTTGGGCACCAAATCAGCATGGATTTACTGTCTTGGGACACAGCACAGCCACAGCGCCTGCCTGTGTGTCAAGTCTGGATGTGCCCATACAAGCAGTAGCACACAACCAGACCTGCAATGAGGAGGGACGGGGCAGGGAGTGTCAGTCCACCCTTTGGGCCTGTAAGCAAGGGATGAATTAGGCTGGCAGCTGCCACCACCTGTGCATGGTCCTGAAGAGGGACCAGAGCACAGCACTGCAGATGTGTGAGGTGCGATATTAGATCAGGGGGTTATTAAATGAGTCAGATGTGGGTAAGACTTGATAGAACTGAACTGACTCAGGGCTGTTCTCTAGATTGAGGAAAAGAGCAGGGCTCTTATGGGAAGAAGGTCTAGGCTATCAGGAGCCAGGCAGGAGCATCTCTGTAAAAACATGGAGAAAACAACACCCTATCCTTCAAGTACACTCAGCAATGAAAACAGCACTTCTACTGATTAAAGCATAACAAATGTAATGAAAAACATAGTAAGCCATTAGTGGCTGCTACCTGTTATGCATTTGTTTTAAGCCCTTTGAATGTTGATAACTGTTTTTCCCTTCTAGAAAATCTCTCTTCATTATTGCTGTTTCCCTTACTCACCACATTTGCAGTCATCATTTGCAAATTCAAGTAATGAATTCGTGAGGAGTCTGGATGGCATAATAATGCTATCTTGCACACTAACACAGCTACCACCCAGCAATCCCAGGATGCTTAACCTTTGCAAGTGGATTAAGCCTTGCAGTGTTGTTCTGCTTTGTGGCAAGAGAGTGAAAGTCCCTAGAGGCAGAACAGAAACTCTTTAGAGCACTGTATTTCTGGGTCTCTGGGGCATGAGTGTACAAGTCTATTTGGTACCAACCCAACGCCTCTAGGAAGTGCCAGATCTGCTCTGCATGACTGTGCAGACAGTCTGCACATGTTCTGTAAATCTGCCCCACCGGGATGTGTTTGGCTCCCAGCACATAGCACATAAACTGGGTGTTGCACACGCAGAAGGGTACAGTAGTTTGTACTTTCATTGCTTCCACACAGCGGTCCAGTGCTCAGGATATGTGCATAAAGTCCACCCAGTACTTCCAAAAAACGTCAGAACAGCTGATAGTGTGAGCAGTTTGTGCAAGACAAAGCAGGGACTATCATCCTTTGCTGTATATGTTCACAGAAGAATAGAACCCTATGAAATTACTCTCCTGGAAATGTTGGACCCCATTGCTCACGTGTTATGCAGCAGATCTATGCATGTGTTATAAAAATGTCAAGGGGATTCAGCTGCCTGGCATCCTGCTCAGATTCCTAAGTACAAAAAGAGCCATCAATAACCAAGATGCACATTAGCTCTAATCAGAGCACAGGGAAGCAAAAGAGGAGCAGGAGATTGTTAAATTGTTCACCATGAAACATTTAACAGTAGAGCTTCGTTATTATAAATCTGCCTGACTTCACTGATAGTACATCAATCAACACAATAAAACTGATATTAATGTGTTTTTTATGAAAGGACTAGCAAAGTGAGTTGTCTTACTCTCAGACAACACTGAAATCAGGTCAATAAGGATATCTACAATTCTAAGCACTTGAACAGCTCCAAAAGGACCAACCATACTTTTACTTATCTTGCTGAACTGGAACCTAATTCAGAAAGCAGAACCTACTACTACCAGAAATATACAGTATTCTATGCATTTTCCTCCACATACTGAACTGGGAAGCAAAACATTGATTTCTAGCACATACCTTATTCCAACATCACTGATGCATCCAGATGCCTGCTGCAGTGTAAATGTTCACTGAATTATTGAAACCCTTGTAATGTTGTAAAGGAAAATGTTAATCTTAACAAGACCAACACAAATGCCTGCAAACCCAAGAAATCAATTGTAAATAGATAGGTAGAAAAAAATGTGTCTTTATTTTCATTTCAGTGATCTGTGTGGCCCTGCAGTGAACTCTAATTTTGAAAGGAATTAAATAACGTTTTGCAGCTGGTCAGAAAACACAAATCCATTTCCAGAATTTTTGAAATATCGCAAATGTTGTCCTGGTATTACAGTGAGAAAAAAGCCAACATATTTTTGAAATTATTTAGAAAAAAGAAAGGTATTTTCTAATAGTACTCAAAGCTTTACCTGAAATATTAAATGCACATACTCAGCCATCACAAAACCTACAAATATCATGAATCTGTTTATTACTGAGAAGGATTATCTGAAATGTACACTGTCTTACAGTGCCAGACAAAATGCAGTAAATTCTTTCTGCAAGGGAGCTGCATAAGTTTCATCATGTGGTGCCCCTCATGTCTGCTTAGGAAAAAAAAAAAAAGGAAATAGAAAATTTGCTTCTTTAGGCAGAATTTTGTTTAGGGAATGAGAGTCTAGGGCAGATAGGCAAAGATTGAACCAGTTCCTTCCAGCCATCTATCTCTGCTGTATCCAACTCTGGAAACTGCTGTATTCCAACTCTACAGCAATATCCCCCTGTGCCAGCCCACAGGAATGTCATGGAGGAAGATAATACTCCCAAGGTCTCTATATTTTTGGTGTCAAACAGAAGTGGGGTTTAGAGGTTGGCTGGAGGACAGAAACAGGAGCCAGGGTGCCCAGGAAACCAAAGCAAACTGAAGCATTGCTTCTCCTGCACACTTCCCAAAATAGGCAATGAAAGGCACAGGTTTGGGGAGAAGTTTATGTCTGTCATATCACACCACACAAGTTCAAACACAGCTACGTGTAAACTGTGCCATGCCTATGCTGCCGGTAGACCCAAGCATTAAGGTACAACCTTGGAATGTTTTCCGTGATGACGATCACTAGGACAGCCAGCTTGGAGCATCCAGGTGAAAAGCAGCTTCTGAAATGGTGTCTGTTGTCTTGAACATTCTCACGAATGTAATGCAACGTTATACATCAAACTATGTGGTTTTATTAAAATATCATTGATTGCCTTGATCCTTTCTGAAGAAGATCTACGTGTTTGAGGACCAAAATATTCTGCCAGTGAGGATTATTTTTCTCCTGGTAGGAATCCAAGTATCAAAATGTAGGTTTTTGTAGCTGTGGTGAGTAATCTGTCAGCAGGGAAACCATGACAGCCTAGAGGAGGAAGAAAAGAAAAAATCCAATCACGTTGGAAACAGATACTCCATAAAATAAATAAGGGGAAATATTTTCCAGCTCTGAAACCTTGTGTTGAAAATTATTGTCCTGACAAAAACTGCACACTTAGATTTATTTGCTAGAATTTCTGATGATGAATCAGGAAAGAACTGAAAATCAGTTCAGATGCTAGGTATTGTAGCTGACAGATTTTCTCAGTGCGCATGAAATATATTAATGGACAGCTTAGGAGCAATTCAGACAGGCATTTAGATCAAATGCTGAGGTTCTTTTTGTCATGTTGTGTTGTATTCTCAGTTAGTTCTAGGAGATGCTGTAGGTACCCAGACATCACATGGGCTTGCTTGTGGATTTCAACAGAGCTTCCATTAGCATCAATGAGAGCCTCATTAGAATAAGGACTTTGAAATTTATCCTGGTTTAGCTATACTTTCTGTGGCAAGACATGGAAAATCCTTGCTGAGGTTGATTGTGTGTCATCTACCCCTCCTGAGCTCCCTGTCCAGCCTTGGGTTTGGCTGTGGAATGAGAGTAATGGGAATGTCAGCTAAGTGAAACATGGTGTTGCAGCAGCTCTGCTGCCCATCCCACACCTGTGTACATAACAAGCCCCGTGCTTGCTTAGCTTTGACAAGGTATTACCTGGTTCACACTGTTGTGATTTCACAGCAGTGTCTGACTGCAGATTGTTATTTTGGCCCAGAACTGGATTTGTGAGTGTTCTCCAGGGGTTGTGATCTTGTTGCCTGTCCTGCCTTTCCCTTCAGCACTGCTCAGTGTGACAGGGCATCCCAGGCCCACTGAGGTGACTGAATATACAGCTGTGCAGCCCCTCAGTGCTGACCATGTCACAGCTGCGCTCAGCCCTGCTTGGATCTACAGCCAAGCAAATAATTTATTCTTCAGTTTGCTCTCTGAGCTGAAAGTGGTAGAAAATACAATATAAAGAAGACCCATACATTCATTATTTTTATAGCTTGGGAAAAATACAGAGATGACATTTTTCTTACGCCCACAAAAAGAGTGCATCTGGAACTTAAAGTAAAGGCTTCTTTTTCTTTTTTAAAAAAATAATATTTAAAGCAATTAGAAACATTGTAAAATAAAAATGAAAAAATATGAGCATTTTGTTGAATTTTGAGACCAAAGATATGAATTTAACACTAATTTGCTAGTAATTTTAATCATGTCCAAAATCTGAGTTTTTAGTAAACACAATGCTCAACCTGTTATTTCTTCCCTTGTAGCATATCTAGAATTCATCTCAGAGCTATGACAACGACATTTCTGGGGTTTTTTTCCCCTCTGAAAGTTTTCACTATCTTTTGTCAACATGATGGTTCTAAAGCCAAAAATAAATTACAGGCTACTGAGATCTGGCAGTAATTTTATGAAATTCTAGGAATGCTGACAGGGGAGTTATGGTTTATGTTAATTGCCAAGTGTCCTCTCATGGTTCCCATGGATTACACAGTATTACCCACACTATAACTTTTCAGGGTCTTTCAAACATATGCTCTTCCAGCACTTTCTCAGGGAAAGTTCCCATTGGTGTCAGCAGCAGTTTTTCCTGAGAGAAAATAACTAGCTTTTAAGTATATGGGAAACTAGTTTCTAAGGCCAGTCCCTGGGACCTCAGCATTTAACATGTTTTAAAATCGACCATTTGAGTTGGCAGTTAGAGTAAATCCAGTGATTTAAATACCAAAACATTACAGTTTATACTGTAGATTTCACTTAGTGGTAAAAGCTGGGTCAAGCAACAGCAGATCATTATTAAAATAGGTCACGTTTGTGTCCAGAAGTATTTGTGCTACAGATATATATGTTGCCTATAGTCCAAATTGTCATGTCCTCTGGGGTACATTTGAAACATAACTTTTAACAGTTACTATTCATCAAGGAATCAAGCTGAATTTAAGCCTGTAAAGCAAGGTAGAACAGAAGCTGACCCTCCAACTACTGATATCTTCTGTTTTTACCATAATTGTCCATTTTCTGTTTTCAGCCTCCTGGAAAACCAATGACCGTGGGGAATAAAATACTTCATCATCAACTTCTTCAGGTTTTCTGGGTAAACAATGTAAAAAAGTCCAGTTGGAAGCAGCAGATTTTGCAGTCTGTAGATGAAAAAGCATATAAAAATAAAGATATATGTGAGGACATGAATAAAATCTTTAACAAGTAAAAAGGTTAAATTTTGTATTAACTCCCACTCTGGTTATTTGGATGATGAACTAAGAAGAATTCCACAGACTTCGAAAGAATTCCTCATTTGTGAATAAGATGGGAATATGTCCATTCAAGTTGGTAAGAGTTCAATACTAGCTTGACATAAGTCCGATATTCACTCTTATTTCTTTGGCTTTAGAAGGGGAGTAAAAACTCTGGTGATCTAGAGGATCAATAGAGTGCAATCTTTTTTGAATGCCATACAGTAATATAACACTATCTATAATTGCAACAAGAACATACTAAACAATGATTTAAAAGGCTGTATATTTTTTCATTTTATATTATCACTCATTATATATTGATCTAATGCCAAGGAAAAATGAATTAAATTTTAGGCCAGAGACATGTCCATCAACAGCATTTAGTGAACTTATGTTAAAGTGCAGACACTTAAACAAGTGATTTTATCAGGAAGGAAAATGTCCTTTTTATCTTGGACGATTAGTAGGTTATGATTTTCTCTAACTGATTTTGTGCTGACAAACATTTCAACTAGATGAATTTAAAGATACATATTTAATATATATATATATTTAATGATTTATTCATTGACAGATATAGACAAATGCTATCCAGGCATTTAAGAGTTAATCTGTAAGCTTCTCATTCTAAATAAAATATAAAGGATCATTTCTGGTAACAAAGAGGAGATGCAAAATTAGAAACAGTTTTTAGGCCATAAAGAAATAAAGGATTAGCTCTGCTGCACATGTTCTGGAGCTAGGTCTCATTGGGAAGCTCTGAAAGAGGCCAGGCCTTGTGAAGTGTATAAGATAACTCAAACTTTGTTATCCTTGTGAGTTTTTTAAGCTGGAGGGAGGCCACACTCAAAAAAATACCAAACTCATTCTTTGTTGATGTTGATTCTTATAAATGCAAACTGTAAAAACATAAACAAGAACCTAAATCTCAACTTTTACCTGCATTGTAATTTGATAACCTTGAAAGGCCTTTAGTCTTTCTTTCTTTTCCTCTTCTTGTCCCATACTTATCCATGTGTCTGTAACTAAGACATTAGCACTGTCTGCAGCTTCTAAAGGATCTGTTGTCAGAAGAAACTTGGTACCATACTAATGTGAATAAAATAAAGAAGATCAGCAAGACAAGGAACTTCATTTTTAAAGAAAATAAACTCTATTCAAATGATTCTACTAGGTTATTTTTTAGGTTCCTACCTCTTCAGAGTATTGTTCAGTTATTTTAGTTATTCTGAGGTCTGGTTCAAAGCCCTGCCAAAAGAGATAACATACCATGGAACATGTAGAAGATCTTTACTGCTTATTAATGCTGGTTAGAAAAATACTGATCAAACCATTTGCCATGGGAAAAAGAATGTATTTCAGAGCTGTAAAACTTGGGGAAATTATGTTGGTTTTGTTGAAAGTTTATTTTGGAGATAAAGTGGTGGAAAGTGTTCTGACAAGGTAAGAAAAATGTATTTTACTAGTTACAGAATGAAATAATTATACATAATTTAATTTTTTGTACTAAACTGAGTATTTGTTTTGTGTTTTATATTGTATTACAATGCAATACTCTAAGACACTACACCATCCATCTGAACCAAGCAAGATGCAACACTCCCACCAATCTGAAACAAGTTTCAATTTTCTGGGGGAGGACAGAGGGCACTGGATGACTTTGTAACACTTTATCAGATGGAATTTTAATTCATCATTGTTTATGCTGCTGTCATGAATTCCCCTCAGCCTTTCTGAAGTTGGACTTTGTAGAACTAATCCTGCTTTGCATCAAAATAACTGGATCAGGATTTTGAACCTTGGTTCTGAAAATTGGCACTCAAAACAGGTGCAAGCATCACCAGCTGAGGCTCTTGGCAAACACCTGAGTGGCCGAGACAAGAATGGGCAAAGTTTGCCTTCCTGCCTCCATGTGTAGGACTTACCTTGGGAGTGGCAATACTCAGGTGCATTCCCAGCTTTGCAGCACTTGTCATGATGGAGTGGAGGACATTGTTTCCATCCCCAATCCAGGTGATAGTGAGTCCATTCAGCCCACCATAGTGCTCCTGCCAAAGGAATCAGAAGCTCTGGGGTTATGTTCCAGATGAGCTCAGCAAGATGATGGGTGAGAGGGATTGATCAGACAGGTCTGGTGCAAAGGCAGCTGGCTACCTTCAAATGCTACCTGCATGGAACAATACCTGGAGTTTACTGCACCTACAGGATGGTCAGGGAGGGAAAGCCCCCCATGTTTTACAGGAAGGTCCAAGTGTGGCAGCTTCCTCCAGTACTGGGAGCTGGAACAGGCTCCCCAGGGAAGCGATCACAGCACCCAGCCTGACAGAGTTCAAGAAGCATTTGGATGATACTCTCAGGCACATGGTGTGACTCTTGGGGATGGTCCTGTACAGGGCCAGGAGTTGGACTCAGTGACTCTTTTGGATCCCTTCCAGCTTGGCATATTGTGTAATTCTGTGACATGTTGGCACGTATGCCACACAATGAGGGCCAGGCTGAGAGATACAGCACCACACACGCAGTAACTTTAACACCAAAGCTGTACTGCCATTTTTGGTGCTAATAAACATCAGTGAGTGGTGGACATTCCTAATTTAAAGATAGCCCTAATGCCTAGAATAGAACTCCTTCCACCTTTCCTCCAGACTGTACAAATATCCCTATTCAGGTTTGCTCTGGCTTGGTTGTCTCTACACGATGTTCTCCGTGGCCATGGCAGTGGCCTTGCCCTTGGAGTGCATTTTCACCATCACAGCTGCACAGGACAGAAAAGAGCAGCACTCTGAAAGCAGCTGTGCCACTCATGGCCTGCAGGGTTTGTTCTCCACTGTAAAGCCAAAGAGGGCAGGGTTTTGTTTATAAGTGTGGATTGCCCAAACTTGAAACACCATTACAGAATTAACTATAGCTTTACCTGATGGCCATTACAGCCTGTTCATGTGCAGTTACTCTGACCCTCAAGTCCAACAGATAAGGCTTAAGGAGGAACAAGAATAACAGGAGTTTTGTGTTCCAGAGCAGGACAATTCGAGACTCTTTAACAAGCTTTGTTTTAAGTATGCATGTTTATAGGAACTTAAGTTGATATCAAAAGGTTTGTGAAGATATAATCAAGTACTTCTATGTGCCTGCTCTGTATAACTCTACCTCATGGCTTGAAGGACTTTCTGGAGAGCCTTTTATTCTTAGTTCAAAACTGGGCCGTGCTACAATTGCATTGTAGTAGCTGGATGCCAGACAGTGTTTCAACACTTTGTGTGACATGATTCAATGCTTGTCAGAGAGGATAAGCATCCACATTGTAGAGCGGTACTAACTGGCAACCTTGCAGGAGTTGCAGAAAAGATGCCAAAAGACTGAACAGGAAGAGGGCGGGGACTACCCCCTCCTCTCCTGGCAGCAGCTTCTCCTAAACAAATAGTTGTGAAGTCACTCCAGAACAAAGTTCTTGGCATTTCTGCCAGGGACCACAATTTTGAATCAAAAATACTAGTACTTGAGATACTGAATTATACTAAAACACAGTAAAAATCTAAACCTAGTAGAGTCCTAAGCTGACTAGGTTTAAGGGTTAAAACTACAGTATTGCAAAACTATCACTTTTTCAGTTGAAGTTTCTTAGCAGCAGACTCATTGGCAAAGGTTTGATGCAAGGGCACTTACAGGAGAACAAATCAGAACTTTGTGAACATGGAAGTTATTTCAGTATAATGGTTCTTCATGTCTCTAAGGATCTTTCAAAGTCCTTCCACATCTCCTAGCAATGGTACTCCTAGGAGAAGGTCAAACTGAAGCATTTATTTAAGGTGTTGTTTCAATTTAGGGCTCAGTGATAGCTGAGAATGAACCCACAGCCAGGAGCAAATGAGACAGTCCTGAGTTCTTTTCATCTTACTGTTTAAAAATAGACATCACAGCCTGTAATGCTCAAAGTATTGACTAGAGTCACAAATATACTGCTATGTTAAACAACTTCCACCTTATTGCCAGCTGCTACTCTGCATTAAAAAGAGCACAGTGCATGCTAAATACTTTTCTCTGTTTTCCCAAGCTACTAGCTGTTACAGATAAAATATGAAGTACTGGAGACGTCTGTATAATGATCCTTGATATACATTGCAAATTGCAAAGTCACATCTGCGGTGATTACTGTGTAGAGTGGACATAGCTGAACTGATCTTAATGAAGATGTTTTGCTAATGGCTGGAGCCACATACAAGGCAGAGTCAAGCTGTGTGTGTGTGCTAGCAGAGCCTATTTTATATCCTGTGCTTTGTGCCCTGGTGCACTGCTGCCGTAACTCAAACCTCTTTATCTAAGAGAAGCTCACTGTGACTGTACTGCTTATATGCACACATCCTCAGATTCCATGAAAGATGAGATAACTGTGTTGGTCAGAAACAGAAAGCTTTGAGGCAATAAAAAACTATATGAGACATACTTCACCCCCCACCCCCCCCCCATTTTATGGTATGTTCTTATAAAACCACACAGATAAAATCCTGCTAAAAGTGTTTTACCATGGTGGTAACACTCTAGGTTAAATCAGAACCTTTACAACACCTGCTGCTCACCAAAGCCTCTGAAGATATTTTCCCCCTTGTACCTCTTCCCAGTTTTTCTGAACTCTGTTATGTTGATGTAGGCTTTATACCTGTTTGGGTGTTCTGCAGTTTCTCTTTACACTTGGAACATGACTTCAAAATATTTACACTCCTTGTAAAGCCACAAAAACTTTAACATGTTTAGAAAGCCTAGAGTCCTTCTCCCTTATGGATGCTTCTTTGGCCAAATAGTGATTGCCACTTAATTGCCATAAAACATGGCTTTGCTATTCTCATGAAAAATCCCTGCTAAATGATTAATGCTGATTTTACATTCAGCTTTCTCATCCTCATGTTGTTTTTACAATATTTCATTCTGTTCTTATCCATGGGTGCAGTGTATCAGTGTATTGAACCCTAGGAAAAAGTAAGCATGCTCAGTGTTTTGGCGCTGCTGTATTTATGGAGAAGACTGGGTTAACTAATTAGGGACATTTGTGTCTGTCTCTACCTGGACTTGCTTCCAGTGAGGCTGAAACTCTGACACCATTATAGATTAATTCTGAATTGTTTGACCACAACTGTCATAACAGCCCTCAATTAAAACAAGCTTTTGAATAATGAATCAATAATCTGTCAAATTTTAAAATGGAAAGCTAGGGACTAATCAAAGCTTTAGCCCTTTGGCATACAGTGCAATCCAGCAAAGGAGAAACTGAGCAAACTTGGATCTACTGGCTCTCAAACTGCTTAAGGCAGATGCTAGGCCAGTTATCTTTCATAATCCCACACTGGTTTTTGTCATGGTTGTTGAAACAGTATATACTAGAGGGTCATTCCAAATCTTAGTTGGGATTTCTAATTGTTAGAATAATAATGATGATGATGGTGATGAATTTGAAGACTACAGTAATTTGAGGTCTTTGGGTCACACATTGAGGAGAAGTTGAGAATATATGGCAGCTCTCTTTAAGCTAGGTACCACTATTTTGTTATGCTGTTTAAAAAGAAGGCTCTGATGCATTTCTTATGCCAACCATTGCTTTCTGAAAAAGCAAATTCCCTCCAGACCAGTGACATAAAAAGCTAGTGGCATATGGATCCACTTTAATTATCAGTCTGGCCATCCTGCAGTCAGCTACAAGTCAGCTGATTTGGCCAGTGACATTAATATCAATTGAATCGATGTCAATACACAGCCTGTGTCTGGAATATAAATTGTGTGATGCTGCCCTCCAGCCAAGCTGAGCAGAGCAGAAGTTGTGAGCCACAGCTTCTGCCTGGGACACTAAGTGGAATCAGCACGTGGCTGTTACATGTCTTCAGCGCAAGCAGAGAAGTTAAGTCCTCACTGTGTGCACACTACCAGCACACAAACTCATAGCCTTTAAAGGCCAAGTCCCCAAACACTCAAAATTATGTTGTTTACATGTTTACAGACATTTTTAGTGGGATTTAACTCAAAAGCAGACTCAGTTCAACAGAACTTTTAAGAAAAAAGGTGGTATATAGATAAGAAAAACATTTCTCTTGGCATAATAGGGGGTTTTAACCCAGACCACAGTATTAAAGGGCAGAGCCAGATTATAAATCAAACATGTGAGGGGCTCCAGGTTGCTCAGGAGGAAGGCACTGGGAAGAGGATGTTGAACCTGAGCAATCTCACCCAGTATTCATGACAGGAGCACACTCTACGATCTGAAAAGAACACCCTGAATACAGAATGAAAATTGACAGCCCTGAAAATAAACCAGCTGCATTGTTTGGGGAATGCAGTGGACTATACTAAAATAACCACACTAAAATGCACTTATGAAAAGGGAATCAGAAGCTGTAAGCAAGAAAATATTTTGACACAAAAAACCAGGCAATTATGCAGTTTCAGACCAAAGAAAAAGCGCTTGAAGAGGATTCAAGAAGGCACAAGACAGGTATTATGGTACAGAAAATGGAAGAATAAAAATGTGCTAAGCATGAAGAGGGCCAGAGTGTATGTACTGCTCCATTTGTAAATGCATCAGAAACAAAAAGAAAAGAAAAAAAAGTACATTTTGGTTATTTAGTGACAGCAGGGAGGAGCAGGAAAATATTTACGGGGATAAAAAAGAGACATTTGTTTAAGAGAAATAAGCTGCACAAAATCTGTAATTACATTTAAATATAAGGCTACCAGTCTGTGCCCCTATTGTCATGTATAAATCAAATAAATTGCTTTTGCATTGCAGGGAAGCAGTCCAAGTGTTATATATGGACTTCCAACTCACTTAGAGAAGCAGTGGGACTATTCCACATCCCTGTATTAATCTTCTTGCAGGCAGTACTTGGATAACATCTTGCTGAAAATCCCACAAGAAGTTCGATAGTGGTAAGTAGCAACTAGACCCTATGGTTCACATCTCTTCAAGTGTTAATCTTACTTCTGTGACCTAGTAAAGTTCCTCATACGATTAAAATGCTGGTTTAGTACATGCCACTGACTGTAAGACCAGTCTTTTCCACCTTGCTGTACAGTGGAAGGAGGAAAACAGGGAGTAGACCGGCAGGTCAGGAAGGGAAAGCACAGGCAGTGCCAACACACACACTGAACTGCTGAGACCTCCCCCCGCCTGCCCCTCTCTCCTCTTAAAAAAACAAGAATGGAAAGTGTGTCAGCAACCAGCAGAGCAGCATGCCCTTGGCAAAGAGGGGCAACCACCTAGTTGCCCTCTAAAGATCTCCTGACAAACTCTGGGCTGAGGAGCATGACAGAGAGAACCAGAGAGAAATGGGCAGAGTTGGAGGAAACACTGCTCTGCTTATCAGGCTGACTGTGAAAGTGCTGCAAATTTAAAAAAAAACTTTCATGACTGTCCAAGGGCTATGCACCTGCTGTTGCTGCTGCTCAGGTATTCAAACCAAGGAAGAGTCCAGGCTGCGGGCTCATGTGCACCTGGAGCTTCCCCCATGGCTGCCCCATACAAGGACACAGTGGAGGAGGAGCAGAGGGTGAGTACAGGGTATGTATTCATTCCACTGCTCTCCATAGGTTTCCCTCTAAGATTGGTGGAAAAAGAGCTGCATCTCTAGAAGCTGATTGAGATGCTCAGTGGTCTCCCTTCATTGACTGGAGATGGAGTAGAGGACAACAGTGCTCTGAACCTGGGTGCTGTAATCTCTGGCCTGGATAAAACCAGGTTTGGGGGCAGAGATACCCATATTTGTGTAGACTGTGAGTCACAGATTATTCCTGAAGCCTGTTATTCACAAGTGATATAATGCTACTTAATAAGGTGTTTGCAAGACAGAACACATTGCAAAACAGAACCATAAGATTCTCCTGGTTTACAGATGCACACAGTGTTTAGAATGAAATGATGACATTCTCATCACAACTTATTGTGTTATGTAATTTGAACACTGAGTCTGGTTCAATGTGATTTCACAAATCTCCCTTATCCTGGGGCATGAGAAGCATCTTAGTCTGAAGCTCACCAATTTTTGCTGACCTCTTCACCTTGAGTATTAAAATTTTACAAAAAATAATGATAATTAAAATTAGAAAAAAGTAATTTTCACTAAACACACAAGTCTTTCAGTATTTAAAATTTAAAGCATAAATAATTTAATATTACTCTCACTAGATCTTTCCCACTTAATGAATGTCCCATAGCAAAGTCTCTGACAGTTGAGAAACAGCCAAATGAATCAAGAAATTATTCTACCCTCCCATTTTCAAGCAGTGTGATTTTTATTCATTCAGAAAGTAAACAAGGTCAGAGGAGTTCATCATAGTTGTCAACCAACACTGCAGTATAATAATAATAATCTTTTTTATAAGCCAGATCCTCAACTGATTGTAAAACCACATAGTCCTTCTGTTCACAGATAAACATCTGGTATTCTATGTGCAAAATGTTATCCTGCTGTCAAAGCAACTATTGCATTAGATAAAACTACAAAATAAAATCTTTTTTAACAGCTCTTTGATGTGAACAAAGTTTAAATTGGTTCAAGTGCCAGAACACTAAGATTTTACATTTGTAGCAATAATTGACTTTTCAAAACAAATTTGTTCAACCAATCTCCTAATATATGGATACTGATTCTTTTTAAACTGTTCATAGATTAGTGAGGAATCAAGAATGAACTAGTGAGGTTTTTTAAGTCAGTGGAAAAACTTCCACTGGCTTTGGCTAAGCCAACTTCTCACCTTTATCTTAATATGTAAAGCTCCCCGCACATTTTTCGTGTATGTGGAATTGCAGCCTAATTCCAATGAAATAATTAATTTTATGCTTAACTTTACTTCCACTACAGCTGATAGGACTACATAATTATTTTAGACTAAACAGGTCCTTAATTATATTGCTGGATGAAGATTTCTTTAAATAACAAATGCCATGCAATTACCACTTAGAAAAACCTAGGAATAAATGGTTTTGAACGTGACTTCCCCAAATACTTGCCAAGGCTAAGACTTAGCAAGAAAAAAAAAAGAAAAATTAGTTATATTGTTACCTGAAGGGTTAGGTAATCAGCTAAAATCTGGAGAGGGTGATATAAATCGGACAGTCCATTGATTATTGGGATCGTGGATTCTTTTGCCATGAGGTCCAGATCATTATGCTTATAAACTCGAGCCAAGATAGCATTTGTCATGCTGGACAGCACCCTGGAGATAGCAGAAAATACTCAAACATAATAAATATAGCCCTGTTGCACTCTTCAGCATGCAACACATGAATATTAATGAAAATGGTAATGAATCAATATTTTTCAGCTATCTGAATAATTTATCATGCCTGCAGAACAGACTCAAATGTAGTCATTTAACAAGCTGCTAAAAAGTGAGCAGTTTCACTTATTAACAGACTACAGTAAGTAAATGAAAACTGCTGCATTATTTTATGTTTTTTTTCTCTTTGAGGTTTGATTGTAGATGTAACATCAATACATGTTGAGCTATCTGAACTAAGATAAGAGATTGTGTGAACTGTAACTTTTGAAGAATTTGATAACTTCAGAAAAGATAAGGTGTAAGATTTCTGCAGTCTTTTAGCAAAAAGCAAATGTAGGACTGACTCAATATTACAGACTATGCATGGTAGCCTGACCTTTTCAAGGATTAGAATACAGATCTGTCACAGATTGCTACACTTATTTACCGATCTTAATTAACACAGAAACAACAGGCCAAAACACCAGCCTTTTCTTTCTCCTACCTGCAGACCTTTCTATTGACACACATGTTATCAATATTAATATAATGCCCAAATTTGAAACTCAGTATAAGGACAGGGGCAGGCTATGCCCTTAACCTCATTTGCCAAAATGTGAAAGACAGAGATTAGCATAGTGGATTAGCATAGTATACTCTGAATTCTTTAGATAAATTTAATATGGATTGGAGCTCTTAATTTCCCTGCATTTCTGTGTTTTAATCAGGCCCTGAAGCCTGACTTTGAAGTAGCATTTTTTGTGTTTTCATGTTATCTATAATATGACATTAAAACAAAACATGGAAGAGACTGAATTAGAAGAGCATGAAAAAAATCCTTGCAGTATCTGTCTTCCTGATAAGCCATGAAGAATTCTCGTATCTCTTCACGTGGATATAGGCTGTTAATGCTGTGATCAGTGAGGTCTCCTGACGAAGTCAGTAACAAACATTTTCTATTGGCACCAGATATTCCTCACACAATTAAAACTCATAAAATGTTACAAGACTGCCTGTAGAGCTCTCTCTGAAGAAAAGGCTGCCAATAGCAGCTAAAGTGAAAAGGAAAGTCAAAACTGAGCAAGGTATTTACTGATTACAGTGTACTGGAACAGTTGTTGTTTGTGCCATTATTTCTTCTTAGCTCATGAGTTCCCTTCTCTGTGCAAAACCGGTTCTGTTCTGTTCTGAACTAGTCATCAGGGATGGGATGCGTGGTTCCTTCTCATGTGTGTCCACCCTAAACAAGACAGCTAGTTCAATCAGCCAAGAAAAAGAGGCAATGACACTGGGAAATTGCCCATTCTCCTTATTTTTTTTTTTTTTTTTTTTTTTTTTTTTTTTTTAGGCTGTCAGGACAGCTGATTCCTATTTGACACAATTGATAAAGAATTTAAAGATGGTTCCTTTGCAAGGTCTGCCATTAGAGGAAATTCAGTCATAATCACCAAATAGTGTAAACTGCTAGATTTTCACCCTTAATCTTTTAAAAGACCTATTACACACCAGGAAGATATCAAACAGTCCTTCTGCCAGCATTTCTAGATGTCACACCTTATAGTAGGAAACCCAGGTGGAAACTGGGTTTATTCTTTGTGAAATCAAAACAAAATTAAATTCAGGGGAAAAAACCAAACCAAAACAAAACAAATAGACTTCACCTGGAGGTCTCTGATTACAGGAGAATGATGAAGTCTTCTGTAATCAAATCAGTCTAAAGCAAATCATGTAAGGCTGGAATTGCACAGAGAAAAGGACCTGAATAGATAAGAGTCTTTAGTATAGATGAAGTTTTGGAAGGTGAGAGGGAGTAAGCACGGACTCATTAGGTGTCTTTTCATTTAAGGTTCTTAGGAACTTCAAAATCCCAGAGCCTGGAAATGTATTGGAACATTGAGTGTATTGGAATGCTGCCTATCTCTCTTTTCAAAGTAACCTTTATTTCTACAGAGAAAAATTAGATTTTTTTTTTCTTAAGTGTATCCTCTGAGGAATCCAAAATTGAACAAAAAGTATACCTGCTTGGTTTGGCAGATCTTTGTATTTGAAAATGAGGCATTTACGTATATTTTGCATAGAATACTGCTATTTAAGACAGTTTTGCTTTTATTTTGAAAATGTATATCCATTTAAAAGGTTTAGACTTCTGACTACTTCACTGTCACTCAGTCTTACAGGGCCATATGATGGATGTGCTCTCTGCAAGCAGTGAGAAGTAAACCCATTCCCCATGAATGCAGAGATTCATCCCCTAATAATTCCAGTGGACTGCTAAAATCATTCTATGAGTTCTTCAGTGCTGTCACTGAACCTGATGGCCCCTGGGCTTTGCTGGTGCACAGTGGAACTGCTCTACAGTGGCAGATACAGATACAGTACTTATATTTCATTTCACATAATATATCAGACATGCTAAACAGATCTGAAAGGCTGAGAGCTCCTTAATGGGCGGTAACTTTTTGCTACTGTGTCAGCATAAATGTAAACGTCTTGTGAAACATGGAACAACTGATTTATGAGCAGGTAATAAGTCTTAAAATATGTTCACAGCAGCAATGCTTTCAACCCCTACCTGCAGCAACTCTAATAAAAACTGTGACTTTTATAGACCTGTGCTCCTTTTGCTTTAAGTCTCAATCTCAAGTACTTCTAAGGCCTTCAGAGCCCTAGACACATGGCTGTAAATATTTGAAATGCCCTCTGGGTCTACTACAGGCATTTTTTTTTTTAGTCTTACATTACCTGAATGAGGTTGGGATGTTATCTTTCATTCTCAAGAAATGCCAGGGAATTAACACTCAGGCTGTTCTTTTGGGTAAACTGCCCAGCCTTGATTATGCAAAGTCAATAATACTCTTGCTAATGAGAGCAGGAATGAAGCAGAGCACACAGGAATGAAGTAGGACTCTGTAAGAACTCGGGAAAGTCCCCAATCTGCTGTAGCAGGGGAGTGCTGTGACTCTGCAAAGGAGCAAAATACCCAGGTCAGAATCATAAATAGGGATTTATTTCTGGAAGAGCAAGCAGTGACAAAGAAAAGGGGGCTGAAGGCTTGTATGGGAAGTAAGTATTGTGGGAACTTTCTCCACAGAATGGGGACACCTTCAGAATGGTTGAAAGATTTGCTTGCTTCTATTTATTGCCTTATTTCTCTCGTAGCTTACTCTCTGCCTTTTTCCCTTTTGCTTGTGTAAAAGAAGGTCATTCAGGAGACTGTGAATGAAAGATTTTGTGTGCCTTTATTATCCCATTTGTGAAGAAGAATTGAAAACTGGCCTGTACAGTGTTTGTGTATGAGAACCGTCCTGCTTAAACTGGGACTATTTCTTTTGAAGGAATGTATTTGAATCCTGTGGCAGCGTATGAGCTCTTCTGAACTGGACACAGTGGCCTAATGTACCTCAGACTTGACTGTTAAGCATCAGAAAAATCCGTTCCCTTTGCAGGCCCACAAATTTACAAAATTTTTGAATCTCTTAAACTTGTACTTACTAAACCCAGGCTTTTGTTGAAAGATCTGAACACTATCAGTATTGACTTACTGGAGCAAGCCCAGAGGAGGCCACCAAGATGATTAGAAGGATGGAGCACCTCTCCTACGAGGAAAGGCTGAGAGGATTGGGATTGCTGAGCCTGGAGAAGGGAAGTCTTTGGGATGACCTAATTGTGGCCTTTCAGTACATGAAGGGAGCCCACAGGAAAGATGAAGAGGGACTATTTACAAAAGCGTGTAGTGACAGGGCAAGGAGGAATGGATCCAAACTAAAAGAGTAGGTTTAGATTTTACATTAGGAAAAAATTATTTACTGTGAGGGTGGTGAGGTACTGGCACAGATTGTCCAGAGAAGTTGTGGATGCCCCATCCCTGGAAGTGTTCAAGGCCAGGTTGGAGCAACCTGATCTAGTTGAAGGTGACCCTGCCCATGGCGGGGGCTTTGGAATTAGATGATCATTAAGGTCCCTACAAACCCAAACCAGTCTGTGATTCTATCATTGCAGCTTACTTTGATACTGGCAGTTATGTATATAACAGGGAGTGAGAGTTAAGTACTTTCAAGCCTCAAGGGACTGAAATTTTTAATTTCTACTAAAAACACCTATATGTCTTCAACTTCAGTACTTAAAAACAAGAAAGGAAAATTTAAAATGTTTAAATGTTTGATCTTTTTTCTTAAATTTTCCTTGAATTTCATCACAGAGAACAGCAACATAGTTCTCAAACAATCTCTCCCACTGACTGAAAACTGTGGTATTCAGCACAGGCAATGGAACTCAGCTGCCTGATTGCATATTTTGAATTAAGCCTGATGAGTTTGACACTGCATATCTTTCACCAGAATTAAAGGGACTGTTCAGACACTACTAACCTTCCAACAGCTGAGCCTGACTGAATCGACCTCAGTTTGCAAAAGGGCTGCCTAGAAAGCAGGACAATGCTGAGGTTGGATGAGTTTTAATATATGAAGTGCTATGACAAACAGCAGGAGCACCTGCAAAACACAACCTCATGTTTTGTTTGCTTTCTGCAACATCAGAGGCAATCCACTGGAGAAACATCCTGAGCTCAGTTCTTCCCTTCTACAGCAAAGGAGATAGGCTGCTACCCGTTCCTGCATGCCTGTGGGACTGGGCATGATTAAGATCTTCCACGGATGTCTGTAAGACAACAAAGTCATAGCCCAGCCTCCACAGCAGTCCTGACAGTGGGTACAATTGTGGAGGAGGGCACATGAAATCAGAAACTAGCTGCAAAGTGTTGTTCAAGTTTGATGCTGCTGAAACAGGGAATCAGAATGGCCTTCATGGCCACCCTGTCACTGTACATAGGCTATAATGGCAGGCTAAGGCCCACCAGCAGCTGGCCTAACTAACATAAATAATGTTTTTTCTCTTCAATTTTGCTCCATGAGCAGCAGAACCAGAAGGTTTGAGTCTTGTTTGACTATATGTGTTGTCATCACTGGAGTTTTACTCCTGAGGTTCATAAAATGTTTCTATTTTTAAATGCAACCCTGATTAAACACTCTGTATGGCAAAATATTTCTCATTGTGACAATGGACAGTTAGAGTGGATGGAATAATGGTGTACTGAACTATAGATTCTCTGAGCTGAGCTGTAAATATTTAAGAAATTTGGACTGCCTTCTGACATTTTCCATAAAGAAAACATTAACTTCCAAAATTCTGTAAGACAGGCTTCGGCCCAATCAATTACTGAATACATAGTGATCAATCAAGTAGCATTTTACCAACCTCACTGTATCTGTGAGACTCTCATTAGTGCCCAGATGTATGTCTTGTGTTGTAAGGAAGGAAGGATGTCCTCCAAGGAGAGCAAATCCTACAGTGAGGACAAATAAAAAAAAAAAAGAGAAATTTACCACCAGCGTCTCATATTTGCAGCCAAGACCCATATCTTCTTCATGTAAGATACATTTACAGCAATAAAAGTAAAACTCAGCAGGACATCCAAATGCTTCAAACACCTATTAATATACATGCTAAAATAATTAGCATCTGACACACGAGATAAAAATAAATGTACTTTGGAATAAAACAACTCAAATGTGATATCTTACTGAAATCCTTAGGAACAGTCATTCAGGCTCCAAGGCTAAGGGCATTACTGTGGCTCCCTGTTATGAGCCAGGTAATCCATTCATCATGCTGCATTTCAAGGGACTTTGCATCCCAGAAGGGTCATTTGAGTCACTAGATGTAATTTCACATCCTTGTACATATCTAGATTTTCTTTCATGTACAGCCACTCAGACAGAAAACCCTAAAACTCTTCATACACTGTAATAAACTTGGCTTTGGTCACAAATGACTGAACTCCTTAAAAATAGTAATGCAACAGAGAGAAAAGGAAAGGTCTCAGACACAGCCATCATCCCTCTACCCTGCAATAGTTAGGAATTTACAGGGTAATCCAAGGAACTGGATGGATTAGTTCCAAAGAATAAAATCCATTCCTGAACAGCAAAGGAGATAGGTTTAAGTCTAAAGCCTCCTACTGAACCTCAGTGTAAAGTCCATCATGGCCACATGTTGGGAGAATGGCTTGAGGGGGTCTGTTTTGTAAACTGTCACAGATGGTTTAGCATAAATCTTGCACAGGACACAGGGTCCTACATCTGGGGACATACAAAGTGTAGTATTTGAACCAGGCTCTAGGTAGCCCTGTAAGGCATTTTCTGTGTGCTGGGGAAGATTTTTCATATAAGAACAACTCCCTTCTAGGACAGAAATTGCCAGAGAGATCTTGCCCTGTTGCTACTATTCATGACAGAGGAAATTTCCAGAGAACCAGAGACCAACCTTGTGGAGAGAATGCTGGGGGGGGGGAAATTGAAGAAAAAAAGGTAAAAAGCTACTCGGGCTGGTTGTAGCCGTTAGATGGCACTGCAGACATCTTCATCACTGCAGCTTTAGCACGGTGGGTGTACAGGCCTGTCAAAGATTAAAATCTTGATTCCACAGCTACTCTTCAAAAAAAGGATTAAATCAGGACTGAACATTGAGCCCTTTCACAGATAAAACCAGCTAGCTACAGGCAGCAGGTCTGGGCCCCACAGATGGGCTCCTAACACAGAGCAACCCTTATTAACTTCCATCTCATGGGGGCAGCGGGGTTGAGGTGAGGTCTTCCATTCCATCAGTTCAGCCAGTCTCTAGAGTTTAAAATGCAATAGATTAAAATAATGCTGGCAAATCATTGCCTTTAGACTGCCTCAATTTCCTTAGAGGACCAATTAAAAATAATGATGCTCCAGATACCACCCGAAGGGCAAATTTCTGCTCTATCCAGCCAGTACACACTTGTTTTATTGAATGGACCCATTTTTGCTTTCCTATTGTTGTCATTAAAGATTGCTCTAAATCTCAACGAGGCTGCAATCAGACACAGCAAACTTTTAAGAATGAAGCATCATTTATTCTACTATTAATTTTTGCTGTTAAAAAAGGACTATTTACAGATTTGTTTGTTGCTTTAACCTCCTCTCTGCAGCTCAAATATGAACACTGTATTTATGGCAGTGTGTATGCAAACTGTTGCCTAGACATTGCATCCTATCTGTTCAATGCAAGTTTTTAAGTCAAGACCTCAAGGATGAAATGTTATTTGCAGTAACTCTTCCTTCCAAAGTTCTTGTGGATCTTTTTGAAGGCATATACAACTATGACAGTGATTTAGCCCTGCAAGTTCCACAGAAGACAACAGCTCTGCATTTTAGGCTTTAAATGCACACATTTTGGTAGATTATTCACAGTCCAGGCAGGCTCCTATGGACATGTTCTGCTTTCTATAAATGGTGCTCAGGTAAAAAAATAGAAATCTGGCCATTTATTCAGAATTGCCAGACATCAGGCAGTGCAGTTGGAGCTGCCACCTGGAGAACATAACAGAGTCCTAATGTGCTGGGCTTTCTGCTCATGAATTGGCCATCTGTGTAGGGCCTGGGAACATATTTCCATCCAAAACTTTCCATCTGGAAAAACAGGAATTCTGTGCTCTAGCTTTGTATATGGTTGCAGAGACAGAATCTTTGCTTTGGATTCTTTCATCCAGACTACTAGTAGAAAGAAAATAATGATGACTTTTGAAGATACACAGACAACAATCCAGCAAATAAGCACACACTGTAGTGCTATGTTAAACTGGGAAATATAATCCTTTTTGTTTTCACAGCCTGGCCATAATCAAATCCACATGCTAAATATTTATATGAATCATAGTATCTTCAACAAACTACTATATGTTCAAATTGCAGATTCAGAATAGATTATCATCTCATGTCCATCCTTCTCACTACTGTTAGTTTTCAAAATGCACAGTTTCATGCCTCGTGCTGTGATACATTATTGACCCCACTTATGCAGGCTCCTTCATGTAGGACATGAGTGCTGGTGGTTGTACAGACATAGGTGAAATCTCCATCCCAGTCTGTCCCTGCTATGTGGGGTAAGTGGGCCAAAATGAACGCTACAGTTCACATGTTGGATACACAGCTGTGGGGCTGCCTTGCTGTTACCTGGAGACATACACAGTCATCTTCTCAAACTCAAAGGAAGGATCTTTTTTAATATTTCAAGATATATGGATTTGCATTTATTAATTCCCTCACTGCCTGCCAGGACTTATGAAATAGAAAGTATTTTTCAGTTTAGACTGATAGCAGGCATCAATTACAGAATATTCCTAAAGCAGAAGCCTAAAAATTGATGGACAGGTTTTAAAAGTTTTTTAAAGCTACTCCTCCAAGTGGAAAGTAAGCTAAGTGTGCTTGGCCCCTTTGTAACATGGCCAAGCTAAATAATAGTTGGACATTCCAACAGAAAACAGACCCTACATTCCTGCCATGCAGTACCATCCCTGCTACATTAGTACATATGAAATGATACAATTATTTCTGTGACTGTGTGTAGTAATCTTCAGGCATGGACATTGTGTTCCTCTCACCCCACTGTGTAAGAGGAGTGAGTTGGGAGTAATTCCATAAAAGCCAGTGTCAGTGAACCTCTGTAAAGCCGTTAAGATCTTGTATATTCCAGTGCACAACAAGAGAAGGCTTTCCTGCCTGTATTGTTTCCTCTCCATTTCTACCCTGTGACATATTGTCTGCATTCAGCATCTGTGAAATAGTTGGATTTATTTATGACTTATTCACTAAAACATAACTGCAGCTGTATATTTTAAGAGCAACAGTGACAATCAGAATATTTTACGCCAAGGTTATTACAAAAACAGGGCATTCACCTTTATGCCATGCCTGAGGATGTTTATTTTACAAGTAATATATGAGCATGTGGAATATTTCTGTTTTCAAAAAGTACACAAGATTTTATACAGAATGAATATGGGATTCTGACTGTGAAGAGGTGACATTTTCCAGTACAATAGTAGAGATGTCACATTTTCCAATATACTAGCCAGTGATAGCAATAAATCTAGTAGGCTCCACAAAACTGGATTTGCTTTGCCAGTACTCTATAGGAGTTACTCATAGTTCTGAATTAAACTTACAACATCACTACTAGTCTTAGAATTGGTAAAATAATATGAGCTTCAGAAATACACTTTAGGACAAGATTAAAGAGGCCGTGCATTATACCCCAAGGAACTGTACATTATTCAGTACAGTTGCAATGTCATCAGAATGCAACAGTTCAGAGGCACGGGATGTTGGAAAAACCACAGATGTCAACTGCTCTCTTACAGTTAATGTTTTGATAATATTTGATCAATCTTGATGACTGGGAGAAATGCTCAAAGACTGGAGGAAAACAAATGTCACCCCTAAGTTAAAGAAGGGCAAGAAGGAGAATCTAGATAATACAGGCCATCCAGCCCCACCTCAATCCATGGGAAAATGACGGAGCAGCTAATCCTGGACACCATTTCTAGACAGATTAAGGACAAGAAAATCATCAGTAGTCAGCATGGCTTCACAAAGAGGGAGTTGTGCTTGACTGACTTTATAAACTTCTGTGTTTCTATGGCTGGCCTGGTAGATGAGGGGAGTGCAGTGGGTATTGTCAGCCTGGACTTCATCATGTCCCTTGAGAGTGTCTCTCTCATAAGATCCTAGACAAAGTACTGCCAGCAGGTGGATCTCTCCTCTTTGTTCAGCACTGGTGAGGCCAAACCTGAAGTATTTGGCTTCGGGCTCTTCAGTATGAGAAACATGGCCATACAGGAGAGAATCATTCTGTGAATTTGTTTATTATTTTTTAAAAAAATGATGTTCTTTATAGGCATAGGGACAGCAGGAATTCAGAAAAAAACTTCCATGGTGTTAATATGTCACAACAATCTCCTAGACCCTGCACAGAGGAGATTTTGTAATCAGTGATTTCCAAGTCTCTACTCCTTTATAATGAAACCCACTGATTTTCGTTTGGTTGTTCCTGAGAATTACAAAGTTTGTTTACATTAATCTCAACACTAGAACCTTGTCCCACAAGTGACACCTTCAAGATATTGAAGGTGTAACTCATGGGAAGTGCTATTTGAGAAAACTCAATAATTTTCTAAATAAACACTCCAATCCATTTCAATGCCCACTTTCACAGGACATTAGAAAATTGGTTTTAAATTAGCTTATTTAACTAAAAGGAACACATGTGGCCCCACATTTGTTTTGAGTTAGAAATTCCAAGGGAGAAGTCATTTATGTTAAAAAAGCAGCTGAAATGTGTAGAGTTTTCATAGACAGAGTCTGTCTTTGAAACAAAGTCTTAGGCTTAAGAGACTTAAGACCAATTAACCGAAGGTGTGAAGTTAATACACAGAAGTTAAACTGCATTAAACTCCCTTGTGGAAGCTCTCACTCAGAAATAAATTGGTTTTATTTCACTGAAGCTTAATCCCTCTTGGATGAATTTATGTGCATTAACTCCCATTCTTAAGTTAATTCATTTGAACTTTCCTGAGCTTCCCCCTTCCATAAGCCTTCAAAAGCCAAGGACTAAGTAGCACTTCCCTTGGAATACAGAAGAATGAAGGATAAACAGATTCAGAGAATTCATTACCTGCCCATGTACCGTTAAGGCAGGCAACTAGAAACTGGACTAAAAACTCAGGAATTAAAAGGTGTGTGGTCTTCAGAGAGAATGAATGCACATTCATAAGTGCTGATTATCTGGAGAAAACAGAAAGCAACAAGTCTTCTTAAAGAGCATGATCAACAGGCAAGTGGCTGTGGCAGAGAATACAAAGGCAAATTCAGAAGTGCTTGCAGTTACCATGTCTGCTTCTTCCTTCCATTATTTTTACCTTTGCCTTTACATCTTGCAAAGAAATGTGAATGCTCAATGGGTTTCCTGTCCTTTCACTAGGGAGAAGTCAGCCCAAGGGATGCTGGGTCAGCTTGAATGTGAGAATCTTCCTTGATGTATCACCAGTTTATAGTTATTGCTTGCTAACATGTAAGTACATGAATGATTTATTTCAGCAGTCCCATTGACTTCAGAACAACTATCATATAAATAAAGACATCATATGTATGTATTTCAGTGTTTCCAGAACTGTATCCTAAAAGAATAATATTCCAGTGCTTGATCTTATTAGGCTAATACCCTGGAGTCTTCATGAAGTTATCTTCCCCTATAGGTAATGACATTAAATTTTTCCCCTAATTTATATCAAGACATTACTGTGATTCCCAGCCTAAACACATGCTTTGAAATGTGACAATGGTAATGCATAATACATTAGAAAAATATTTATTAGAGCTTGCACAGAATTAAATTTGCGATGCTTACTGAAACAGATGTTAGGAAATGTGCATCTTGCTTGTACAACTAGGAGCTTGCACCAGAAATGTTTCCTTCTGCCTGTTACTTTATTTCTGATCTGTTGTGTTTTGGAATAATTTGGCAAATTTTCAGTGACCAAAACAATGTGCTTGTGACCTTAATATGTGAGGTGAAAGACAATGAGATACCATTGTTTAAGTTTCTCCTGAGAAGAAATTGCTAAATACAAAATTATGCAGCGTTTTTCAGTACATACTCACTGCATACAGTTTCATACAAAATCCAACTGTGCTATTGCTCAGACCTACCTGTTTCTGCAGATAATCTTGTTCTTGTGCTTCTCTTCTCAAAAATCATGGCCAAAGATTTTCCTTGCATCAAAGGTAAATACTGAAACACGAAAATTGAAGGTGTTTCAATTTTATAGTCATTATACACTTAAAGTATGAAATGCTTATTATTTCACCTTTTAATTCAGCATTAGAAAAGTTGCACAGGTTGTTTTTTCAACCATAGCTTTGTTCTCCTGCCCTTCAATAAGTTTATTAGCAGTGGAAAGGTTAAAGAGAAAGAAGTAATTCTAGGGGCAAAATCAACTACATTTTGGCACTCAATTTGAGCTAGCATTAAGGAAAACTCAGATACTAATTTAATCCCATGCAGGGAAGTGTCTTCCATTTCCTACCTTTAGTGCTGCATGTGCACCATGTGTGGATGGATGGGGTTAGCTGACAACAGGGAGTTGAGTGCACAAAGCTGTTTAACCTTTCCACTGAATGAAGTCCTCTGAAGTATTTAAAGAATATCTCTGAACACTTTACAGGAAAGCTCTTTGATTTGTAGGCATGATTTACAGTATTTAAGAGCTCAGGAGATTTTATCTAGGACAAGACAGTTGAATGGCTCATTCTCAATGCTTTTCAGAACAATATTTATTTCAACATCTAAGTGACCTAAATGACAGCTAAAGCATTTTACCTCTCCTTTGTACTTTATCCTTTGTTTCAAATCTGAGGCCATCCACAGCAAATACTTCAGCTCATCTGCTGTGTAGTTCTGTAGAGTAAGGAGGTCCTGACCTTTCAGATGAACATTCATTTGAGCTGGTCGCCCATACCTGTGTCAAAAGGGCAAAAATACACGCTTTTTGTCATTAATGCTGAGTTGTACTCATGCTAAAGCCGGTGAGCAAGCACCTGAAGTCTCTCCCACCCCTCTCATTTGACCCAGCTGGACCAGATTGATGGACTGTGTTAATCAGTTAAAATAACTCCTGCTGTCAGACAAACACAAAACATGCGACTACGCGCTGTATCAATCGCCACTCTAACAGTGTTTCAAATTGTATTATAAACTGTACGGTAGATATAGTTTCTTTTGTCTTCTGAGATGCATATGGCAACTGCATGCTATCAAATAAAGCCATTCAGAACTTGGTGAAACAACTTATGTGTGGACCACAAAGCTGCCCTTTTGGGGGACAGAATAACAGAAATGGATCTTGGTGCATCTCCTCCCTCCTTTGTGCTTTGTGGATGAGTACACACTTGCCACATTCCATCCTCGCTGTCACAAATGGTGGCATTTCTATATAAATGTGTATGAAATCTGTAGACTACGCTGGGGAAGAGGGTAAAAATCCCCAACAAAATAGCCATGTGATCGAGTCCTTCTTGTAGCATACAAGAGATGTTCCGGGCATGTGCAGTGTGTTTATTCTGTGTATTCTGGTCTCCAGCCAGATTTACGACTTCTGAATCACATGAAATTGGACGCTGATAATCACTCAGAGAAGTTACATGATCAAATTTCCTCTAGCTTAGATGAGGCATCTTAATGAAAGTCACATCCAAGCCCATGTTTCCACAGGCCTTATTAAGATTAATAAGGTAGTGTGGCAGTTTAGCCCTTTCTCTGGCACTGTACTTACAACCTCCTTAACACTACACAGCCTGCACTGCACTCTTGGTTTGGAGGGGTGTGAGCTAAACATGTCTTTTTAATTAAAGGCAGCATTTTTAGGCTGATCTAATGGAAGGGAGATCAAAACAATGCAAACAAGTGGATTGAGTACAGCTACTACTTTTGTGTTACAAGTAGGCTTTCCCACAGCTCACCACTGAGACTGGGCTTAGTGACAGCACCTGCCAATTGCCAAGCCCTGGAGTCCGCAGCTAGGAAAATTCAGGGGGAAAAAGATTTCTGTTCATTCTCCTGTTAATTACAATTAATACAATTCTTGGAAGTGGATAGGCCTGTTATAATTTCTAAAGATTTTGCATTCATATATTAGTTAAATCTGGGGGGAAAGCTTTTTTGGCAGAATTTTGTGACATAGACTCCAACTGAAACTGGAGGAAGAGAGTAGCTCTTAAGGGAATGGTACCACGCATTATTACTCTCTGACGTCACAGAAAAAGCTGCATGAATTTTCAAATAAGGCAGCAGAATTCCTTCTTAAATTGGAGATATCTAAATACTGTGTGTTTTCCTTCTGGACACCTTAAAAGTACATTAGATACACATTATACTACTGCCATTATTAAGAGGTTTTTTCACAGCGAAAAGAAATACCTGTAAAAGCAGAAACATTGAGAATATATGAAGAAGTATCCCACGCATGTGCTCTGCAGATTAATATTGCTGGAATTCAGTATATGCTGTCATATATTAGGGCAATGTGCTCCAGACATTATACAGACTTCCAGAGAATCGACTACTAAGCTGAGCAGAAAACACTACGAAGATTCCCATCAGAATCTGTTCTCTGCACAGGTCCCCAAACTGCAAGAGGGCTGGACTTTTCTGAAATACAAGTGGATTTCTTTTTTCCTAAGTTTAGAGTAATGTTGTCTGTGTACTTTCCAAGAGTGTCTCTGAAAATTGATTCTGAAGTGAAATACAATGTAAAGTCTGTGTGTGACTTAAGTAATAAATATTTGTGGCAGTGCCATTTAAAATTATGTACATTTCCAAGACAGAAAGACCTCTCTACATAATATTACAATAATTGGGAAAATAAAGTTATATGTTTGTTATAAGTGTTATCCTTCTGTTCCCATGCTTACTTCCAACCTGAGGCAAACAACTTATAATCAGCTAGGAAGCATGCTGATGTCCATTTTTTTTTTTTTAATTTGAAGTGGGTTTTACAGATCTAGCAAAATTATATCCTGTACTTCAATGTTCAAAAGCTGCAGTACAGAATATACCTGACATTATAAGAAAGGCTGGGGATTCTTGTGTTAGGTAGTTTCCACCATAGCATGAAAAAAAAACCCACCAAGATAAGCCACTGAAATCCAGTGTAGAAGACAAAGGCTTTTAGATGATATTCAAGTGATTGGGTCTAAATTCATTGTGTATATTCTGAAGGAAATCAGTTCTATAATTGTGACTTTATTACTATTATTTTTCAGAACAGTGATTTGTTGTTCTATCCACTTTGGGGGAACAAAAATAGACTTGTCCTCTTTTGAAATCTGTGGTTGCTTACTGCTTGGTCACCCTACTCTACTTTGCTGCATTGTTTACAGAGCAGCTTTGGTGTTGCTGCTTGTATTTCTAATTGCAACCTGTGATTCCTTCCAGTGACTTACAGATTGTCTGATCTCAACCTGCCAAGCAAGAATTTCTGTTCATTGGTCTTGTTTCGCCACTTGGCATGACTGAGAAATATTCACCACTAATTTCTGTGCTAGTAGAGAGTAGAGCACTAAAACTGGTTACCCAGAGTGGAAATACCATCCTTGAGGATTTTCAAGATGTGGCTGAGTAAAGACATAGCTGTTTGACAGGCTATGAGCAGAAAGTTGGACTAGAGTTCTGCTCCTGCCGTGTATGTTCCCATGATGATTCTGTTTTCTTGCCATGACCTTCAAGAAATGTGTTCTTCTCCCTATTTTCCATATCCTCTGAGAGAGAGGCAGAAGTGGACAAATAAATTCCAGAGAAGAAGCATGAGACAACATACGAAAGTTAAAATGTAACAGGCAAATTGCAAGGTCAAGCAGTTTTGGTTTCTTGCTTTCTGAGCAGGGACAGCAGTAACTCTGGCCTCTTAGCACAGACTGATAGATACAAGGTTATCCTGCAGTATCAGTCACAATGTGTTTAGCTAGTAATGCTCACAGCCAGTGGTGATAGCTCATGCCAGCATTACGTTATGTTAAAACCCCCTAAAAACACCAAACAATATTATGTGGGGAACATAACAAACTGTATTACTTCCTTGGAAAACCAGCTTCACTGCAGTTGTTCTCCAAACTTGCTTTTCTATCATCTCTTCTAACCAGAGAAAGTTCCCACCCATTGCCAGCAGTGAAAATCCATAATTCATAAAAAAGATTATCACCCAGGCTTCAGGACCACTTTAAAATTGGAGCAAATAAATAACATGACTTGGAAAGCATTTGTTTTTCATCTAATGCAATGGAGAAAGGCTGAATAAAAATTACTTATTGCATAGTAGGATTCCTGGGAATATGAAACTCCTGTACATTGTTTTCTAGCATTAATCACTTGTTACATAACCTGCTAATGTTATCCTTATTGACTCTGACCTAAAAACAGAAGAAGATGTGGAATTAAGTTTCAAGTCTAAAATTTTAATCTGATTCTGGAGATGTGATAAGCATAAGAAGTAGCCTGCTGAAACACAGTCAAAAAGGTACTTTTCTGAAGTCACAGGGGACAGGCACAGCTATGTGCTTGAGGAAGGAACCCAAAGGCAGGTCACAGAGGTAAGTCTACATACTTAACTCTGAATCTTGTATCACATCATGTTTTTCCTGCATACCTTCAGTGTATACAGAGACAAAAATATACCAAGGCAGAGACTCAGCTTGCAGCTTCAGTGAGAGAATTTCCCCCCATACTGTCCATGATAATTGTCTAAATGAAGAATTTCCAGTTATTTATTCACATAGTTATTGGTTACAGTACCTACAGAGTACACTGACCTGGAGAAGAAACATTCCTTCCTGAACTTGCTGTTAAATCACACAGAAAGTATTAATGGTATTCCACAAACATTAAAAGGGATAATTCTCCAGTCTCCCAAAGTCACAGAGCTTGCTGTCTTGAGGGGCAAAAGGGCACTAAAAATGCAAGGCAAAAAACACAACACCTTTCTCTGAAACACTCGCTCCTTCACAGGATTGAGCTGGTTTTGTCTCCAGGTTTCTGACCAAATGTCACAGAACACCAAATAAAATCAAAGGATAAGCTTACCAGAACTGTCGCAGCAGCTGCTTCCTGGTCCCTGTTAGTTTTGCAATGCTGACAAAGCTCCTCACATTAAACAGCATCTTCGTTTGTATTAAGACTTACTCCAAGTCCCACAAAGTTGGGAGAAAGAAAGGAGTATGAAGCAGAGAGCGAGCTGTGCTGCTGTGCAAATGAGGGAAAGCCAAGAACCAAGGTCTTCACTCTGGTTCCAGACAGGGCTGGGCCAGGCAGGGGCTGACCCTGAAACCCTTCCTTGGTCAACCCCTACAGATACAGAGATTTCTCACAGAGCCCATTGCACCACTTGCAGTTTGTGCTCTTCTGCCCATCGTATCACACCTGTGTCAATACCATTTCATAGCTATTTTGTGTTTGTTAAATATTTGTACAGGAGCACATGCTAGTAGAAAAATGCAAAAGAAGACTTTTAGGATGCAGCATTAGCAGGGCAGCTCCCCTAGGGATGGGACCGTGCCCATGGGGGCTCCTCATCTCTAGCACAGCCCAGGCAGGGACTGATGGCCCTGCACTGAGCCAAAAGGAGGGTTCTGGAGTCCAGGATGTGGAGCTGGGCAGGGCATAAAGGCTTATTTGTGCCCTCAGGGCCCTGACAAGAATGAAGAACAGCTACATTTAAAAATGTACATTTTCCTGGGGTTTTTTTTGGGACAAAGTTTTCAACTGTGCTATGGTAGAATTAAACAGCCCTCAGTGGGGCCCAGAAACTGAAATATTGCAGCCTGCTTACCTCCTTATGCTAAACTGCTTGCTATATAATCTGAAGTTGGTCAATTGCTAAATACTAAAGTGATTTCATTTAAATTTCTACTTTCAAATATAATTGTCAGACAAGACTTTATGCCACCTGCACTGTAGGTGGTTTTGAAATATGACCATTACTTTCTCATTTCCTCATTACTTTCTCATTTCCTCCTCTGTGTAAGGAGAGGCATACTAGTGTAAATCAAGGTGATGGTGTATCTGTCAGAGAGAGTGATATGTTGAAATTGCAATGTGAAGAACATATAATTAAAACATGCAGAAAAAAAGGTTTGACTTCCCCAGAAAGAGAGACAGCTGTGAAAAAGTCATGCAGGGTGATATCTCCTGGTGGGATTTGTTCAGGACCCCTCACGCCAAACCAACACTGAGATGCCTAGAAAATGCAGCAGTTGCCATGGGAAATGTCAGGCAGAAGCAAAATCCAACAGAAATTAATAAGAAGGAAATGAAATAGAAGAAAGAGAAGAAAACTGGGCCATGGTTTCCCTCCTGGTTTTCCTCTGGCAAATGACTCCCACGACCTTCAAGCCCAGCCCCTGAAGACTGTACATGTTCTGTTAGCAACACCCAGGAGAAAAGACAGCAGAGAAAGGAAATGTGGCCAAGGTGCCAAGGCCTCCAGTCTCGTTTTACAGTCCAACAGGGAGGGGATACTGCCAGTGCCCCTTTTTCAGGTCCCCCTTTGTATTGAGTCTGGCTGAGATGGAGTTCATTTTCCCCACAGCAGCCCTCACAGTGCTGCGCTTTGCAGCTAGAAAGGTGTTGATAACAGAGCAAGTTTTTTGGCTACTGCTGAGCAGTGCTGGCACAGTATCAGTACTGTTACTTGAATTTCCCCCCCATTAGGAGGTTGGGAATGGGCAAGATCTTGGGAGGGGACATAACTAGGACAACTAGCACTACACCCTTGTACAGGGATTGCCCAATCCAGTTGGTCCACATGGACCAATTTCCTTGTCAGCTCCTGTGAGCAAGTATTGCATCCCACTCCTAAGAGGAAGGGACCACCCAAGCTTTATAGATGCCTGTGGTCAGAAAGGAATATGACATTCTTATAGTCATCTAATGTAGTGAACAGAAGGTCTCCTTCCTCTGAGCTTGCAGGAGACTGCCCCTTGGCACCTCCTTTCCTGAGGGCAAGCAGCAGTTAGGGTAGGCAAAGCGTTCATACATCAGTGGCTGCGAGGCGGTGCACCAAGAGTGCCCATGCTGCTTCCTTTTGGAAACACCTTGGGAAGGCAATGTCTTTCCACAGCTCATTTTCTTCCCAAACTCCCACCCCGAGAAAGGGCCAGGCCTTGGTGCTTTTCTTTTGGAGAGTGGGGCTGCAGCAGCTGGGGCAACTCTGAGAGCAAGCAGCTTCCAACCTGCTGCACCTCGCCGTGCCCACAGCAAGATCATCTTCCAGCAATACGTGTCTGCTTGGACACCTGGGACAACAGGGAGTCCTGTCAGCACGACTTCTGCTTCATTCACATGCAGTGGTCATCCAAACCCAAAAGCAAATGCCCACTCCATAAACAGTCTTTCCCATTTATCCTGCATGCAGTGGTGGCCAGTGAAGACTTCTGTCCTTCACCCATCATTCCTTGTTCAAAGACCTCCTTACCAGCCATCCTACCAGCAGAGATACATTTGTCCAACTTTGTGAGGTGATTTCCATCTCTCCCAACTACATGTTGATCTTCAAAGAGGATCTCACAGCCCCAGAAACCAAAATCCTGCTGCAGACACCTTCTTTCTACGAATCTTGCTCGTTGTTTCATAACCCATTTATATTCTTGGCAATCACACTACCTGGTAACTACAATCTCAGGCATCACTTTGTGAACAATGTTTGTTCAGTTTTATTTTGAACAGCTTTTGATGGATATCCCCTCCCTTCAGAATCAGAAGAAGCAATTAGGGCAGAAAGCATCAGAAGGATATTGGGTTCAAAGAGATGAAATCCCTGCCTCATGTAGGAGCAAAAATCAAGCACTTTCTTTTTCCTTTTGAAAATGTGGCCACTCCTCTTTGTGTGTAGTTATATGGATATATCATCTTATGCACAAACTACTCTATTGATTAAACTCTGCATAAAACAAGCTTGAAATTGGTTGTCCAGGCTGCCTGCTGCAGCCCCTGTTGCAGTACATCATCCTGAAAACAATACCTTTGTCTTTCAGCAAGGGATGACCTGGTGTATCAGAAATACATGGGAATAGCAAGAAAATAGAACTCCATAAATGACCATAGATTTTTTTGGAAGGAGGGAAAAGCTCCACTGGGAGTTTGGGACTACAAATGAAATATGGTTAAAAGTGTACAAGCCCCTGGATTTATTTCAGTGGGATCTCAAACTGCCCTACCCAGAGTCGCTGGGTGGGTGATTGAATCTTGTGCACCTGATCAGAAGACTTTACACAAACATTCTGGTGAAAGAGATCATCAAACAGAGGAAATTTTTCTTTTAGAACCACAGAATCGAGTGTTGACAAAACAAAGTTTCAGAGCCATGTTCTGCTCCCCCAGCTGAGGCAGGGCAGCTTCGCCAATCACTCAGCAAACAAACAGCTGAGCCAGGAGCCTGGCAAAGCAGGGAGCACGAGACAGAGCCCCAGTGAGAGATGGCTCCTTTGGGAGCTGCAGGCACAGTCAGACTACAAAGCAGGAGGACATAAATGATGTCCAGCATGTAGGGATGCTGCCAAGAAAGCAAACTTCTGATAGAGCTAAGAATTGCAAGGGGCCTTCAAGGAGGGTAATTATTATAATTGAATCACAAAATGACTTGGGTTGGAAGGGATGTTAAAGCTCATCTAATTCCACCCTCCTGCCGTGAGCAGGAACATCTTCCACTAGACCAGGTTGTTCAGGGTCCTGCCTGGCCTTGAACACTTCCAGGGATGGGGCATCTACGGCTTCTCTGGGCAATCTGTCCCAGTGCCTCAATACCCTCATGGCAAAGAATTTCTTCCATATATCCAATCTAAACCAACCCTCTTTCAGTCTGAAGCCATTGCCTCCTGTCCCATCACTACAGTTACCCAAAAGAAGGGTGTAGCCAGGTGGGGTTCAGCCTCTTTCTCCCAGGCAACCAGCGACAAGACAGGAGGAGACAGTGTTAAGCTGTGCCAGGGTGAGTTTAGTTTTGACACTGGGAAGAATTTATCCACATACAGGGTGATTAAACATTGGAACGGGCTGCCCAGGGAGGCGGTGGAGTCACCGTCCCCGGAGGTGTTTAAGAAAAGACTGAACGTGTCACTCAGTGCCATGGTCTGTTTGACACGGTGTTGTTCGGTCACAGGCTGGACTCGATGATCTCAGAGGGCTTTTCCAACCTAATTGATTGTGATTCCGTCGCTTGCTCAGCGCCGGCTCCGGGCCCAGGCCGCTCCGGGGCGGGCTCTGAGGGCGCGGTGCCGCCCCCCCTCCGGCCGCCAGGCGGCGCTGCCCCCCCCGCCCGGCCCGGCCTCCTCGGGCCGCCATGGCCGCGCCCGCCGCGGGGGACGAGCTGCCCGTGCCCGGTGAGTGCGGCCCGTCCCGCGGGGCCCGGCTGGGGGGACTCGGCCGCCCGTGCCCGCCCTCGCCCCGCGGCCGCCGCTCTGCCCCGGCTCGCCCCGGCTGCGGGCGGCAGGGGGGGGGGCTGGGGCCGTCCGGCGTGTGGGGAGAGGCGCGTCCGCTGCCATCAGAGATCGGCACGGCGGGGGCAGGGGGGCAGCGCCGGGCACCGGGGGGGCTCCCTTCATACCGAGAATTAATAATTAGTCTGTGTCGTGGTTTGCCCCGAGGTGATGTTCAAACATTCGCCCGTTGCCCGGGACGACAAGCGCCTCGTTTATGTCCTGTGGGATTTAGTGTTACGAGTTGAGGGGGTTCAGTTTCCGAGCAGATGGCTTCACAGCATCACAGAACGGGTCAGGCTGGGAGGGACCACAGTGGGTCATCTGCTCCAAACCCCCTGCTCCACCGGGGTCATCCCAGAGCACATGGCACAGGATTGCGTCCAGACGGTTCTGGAATATCTCCAGTGAGGGAGACTCCACACCCTCTCTGGGCAACCTGTTCCAGTGCTCGGTGACTGCACAGCAACAAAGTTCTTCCTCATGTTCAGGTGGAACTTTCTGGGCATCAGTTTCTGCCTTTTACCTCTTGCCCTGTTGCTGGGCACCACTGAGCAGAGCCTGGTCCATCCTCTGACACCCCCCTTTAGCTATTTATAGACATTGATGAGGTCCCCTCTCAGTTGTCTCTTCTCGAGGCTGAACAGGCCCAAATCCCTCAGTCTGTCATCATAAGAGAGATCCTTATGTCCCCCAATCATCCTTGTTGCCCTCCACTGGACCGAGTCCAGGACCTCGATGCCTCTATTTTAATGAGGACACAGTAGTTGTGTCCAGTTTTGAAATGCTGTGGCTTAGTTATGAAATGAACAAAATACAAAGGACGTTTGTAAGTTCAACAGCTTTTTGTATGCAGTGATGAAGAATATACTTATGTTTTCATGTTAACCCTGCTGAAAAGAAACGAACCACAGAGCTCTATGGCACAAATGCCAAATGTTCAGATGTGCTACATGGCTGTCTGGCTGGAGATTAAAGCATAAAACAGAGTTTTCAGATGACTTTTAGTATGTCTGTGGTTGTAGGTGTGTCTAGATGAAATAAAGAATAACTCAACTCTTTCTTTAAAAAGCTTGAGTTTGCTTGGACAAAGATTTTTGAGCAAGTGAGGTAATAAATACAATTTATACGTGTCTGCTGTATCTGATCCATGATATAACATGTCTTTGGAAATAGGGGAAACTTTTGCACAAAATAATTACTTCTAAATGATATGAAATTTACAGTTTAAGAGAGAACATTTGTGTTTTGGAGCTGGGGTGTACCTTATTGATGAGGTTGTTTTCATTGAAATTTATTCCATTAAGATGTCTCCATGTAATTTTCAGAAGCAGTCTACTGTTACTATGTGTATTTGTTAACATTTGTTACATGTTAACAAAAAATTTACAGGCTTTGGTATTTTAAAATAGTAGGTCTACCTGTCCTTTGCCATGTTTTCTGTGTGGCTTTTGGCAAATTATTGTAACTTGTAAGTCCATTCATTATTATGTAGAATTAGTATTTCCTGTGTCAAGCCACATGCTTAACCAAAAGCTAAATGAATAGTTAACATTTTGTGTTTTGAAACAACATTGCTGACACTTTTGAAAGTGAGAAGAATTAAGAAAACCAGACAGATTACAAGAGCAGAAGAGCTGCCTGGACTTTAGTTTTGGGTGGTTTTGTTAGAGTTTCTTTGATCGTGGTCTTATCACAGAATCACAGAATGGCTGGAGTTGGAAGGAACTTCTGGAGATCATTTAGTCCACCCCGCTTGCTAAAGCAGGGTCACCTGGAAGAGGTTACACAAGATTGTGTCCAGGCAGATGGAGACTCCACAGCCTCTCTGGGCAGCCCCTGACCCAGTGCTCTGTCACCCTCACAGTTAAGAAGTTCTTCCTCATGTTCAGGTGAAACAACAGTTGTACCAACCCATGTTTTGAAGGCTGAGAGAAGAAAGAAGAGAAATATAGGAAAATAAAATGTTCAATTAATTTGATAGAACGTAGCTATTTCAAAATATACGAGGCAAAATTTGCTTTCACTAAAATTGACATTATATTTTTGTGTTTTAGAATCAGGTGCTGTTTTCACATTTGGGAGAAGCAAATTTGCAGAAGATGTTCCTAGCAAGTTCTGGTTCAAAAATGACAAGCCTGTACTTATATCATGTGGAGATGAACATACCGCTATTATTACAGGTCAGTATTGGAAATGGAGCGTGTAGAATCATAGAATTGTTTAGGTTGGAAAAGACCTTTAAGATCATCAAACCCAGCCATTTAACCAGCTCTCCACCACTTCCATGGGCTGCCTGTTCCAATGCTTGACAACCGTTTCGGTGAAGAAATTTACCCCAATATCCAATTTAAACCTTCTCTGGCACAACCTGAGGCTGTTTCCTCTCATCCTGGTACTTGTTACCTGGGAGAAGAGACTGACCCCCACCTGGCTACAGCCTCCTTTCAGGTAGCTGTAGAGAGCCATAAGGTCTCCCCTGAGCTGCTTTTTCTCCAGGCTAAACAACCCCAGCTTCCTCAGCTGCTCCTCACAGGACATTTGCTCCAGAGCCTTCACCAGCCTCATTGTCCTTCTTTGGACACCCTGCAGAACTTCAATGGCTTTCTTGTAGTGAGAGTGATCGATGCGATAAAAGGATATATATTTGGACAGCTTTGAAAGTTAGAAATCTTATTTGAATCCTGAGGTAATAAATGAGTTTGTGGAGAGGAGAGAGGACTGTTCTGTGGGAACTGTTGGATGCCTTTAGAGTTCCCGTGAGGTTACTCCAGGTTTTCACAAGACATGCCCAAGAACTGTCTTAAGCGAGTTTATAATAACTGAATGTATCACAGGATTTAAAGTAGGTATGACTTTGTTCAGGTTGAATGTATCTTGTGAATCTGACAATGTTTAGTCTGTTAGATATATTGTATCATGGAAGGAACAGTATCTGCTGAACACCGTCAAGAAATTCACTAGAAATCTGCTTGAAACAAGAGATACAGTTGTATCTCTGAGATGAAGGTTTGAATTGCTGATAACTGTTAGTTGAAAATAACCCTTGAAAGAGCAACTCAATAAACTTCAGAAAATCCTACAAAAAAGATAAGTAAATGGAAAAAGACATTCAAAGAAACTCTGATGTAATACAGTGAGTGTTATTAATGTTTATTTTAATATCTTTGAAATGATGGAGACAGTACAGATTAAAAAAATTTCATTTTATTTTACATGAAAGGGATTACTGTTCTGTTGGTGAGCCTTGTGTCAATTGTATTGACAATCTACTGCTGATAGATAATAAGACTTTGTTGTTATAAAATTTATATGTGTATTTTCAGAAATTTTTAAATTGGAATGTAGTTATTCCTCATCAATAGCCAACTGGTCATTGCTTATTAAATAGTTTCTTGAGTGTTTCTTGCAATGTTTGAAAGCAGCATTGAAGATGCTGGATTTTTAGAAAGAACTCTTCCAGGCATGATAGAAAAGACTGTAGATTTCATGGACTGCTGGACATCTTGAGGTGAAATTTCACAATGAATTTTTCAAGCCTAACTTCATAGAAGACAAATTATACATTAATAGTTTATTTTGAACAAAACTTTACACTTTTGCTTGGATTGAACCAGTAATATTAAACTTCCTGTCGCATAAAATTAATCCGGATGTAAGCTGGGGCACTGTGATATTTTCCTTTTGAATTTTATTTTTGTATGTGCTTTTATATGCCCATACCCAGTTTGAAGTAACACTGGTATAGTTTTCTGTTTAAACTAGTTGATTTAAGTTGCCTCCTAGCATGTGCCTGTGCCAGCACTGTTACCCTAATCAATCACTGTAATAGTGACCACTTAGATAAAGCTTTTGAAGAAGTCATCTTACATAGATTTGCATGGAGCAGCAGTCCTCTACTGTCTTCCCTTTTCCCTGTTATTTTAATATATGTTTCATAAATGTCTCTTTAGCTCTCCTTAGCTGTTGTAGTGAGCAGGTACATCTCCAGGGAAGCTTCTAGATAATCGGCTCCTTATTTTCTCAAAGCTTTTGAGAAGAAGGAACTACAGAAGCATGAGTAAAAAGCTTTTTAGGTACCAAAATGTTTTCTGGGTCATTGTAAAGTAGAGGGAAAAGTGAGGGTAAAGTATGGATCAACGACAAGCAAAGGTAGAGAAACGGCAAGAGTTATATGAAAAAGTGAAGAAGGGGAAGAGAAAATCATTGTCCCTCATTTGTTCTTCACACCTGTGCATGCCCATGTGCACCTCACATTTCTGCTGTTAGATGGAGTTGGATGATACAATGGAATTACAGCCCTTGGTGACTGACACTGAACTGCAGTAACACCTGGAATAAACACTCCAGAGGTGCGTGCCAATACTGAGTTTACTGAGAAGGGTACAGGCCCTGTGGGAAACCAGGAGCTTCTTCAGCTGAACCTGGCCTGGAAGAGATAAAAAACATCACTGAGGAAGGAAAAGTGTCTCAAGCAGGTGTGTGTTAATGCATGCTTCATTTTATTCTCAGTCTTTATTTACAGGTCACAAAATTCTCCCTCTTTTTTTTCCACACCTTGGAAGAGGGAGTGGGACCTATATTTGTAGGATTCCATAGAAATATGAGGGAGGTTCAAATCTGATAGAGATGTATCAATTTGACACTAACATGTCTCAACAATCATAAGTAAAACAATCACACAAACTGATAAAAGACATTCCTTAATGCTGGATTTGGGCAGGAGAGACAGGTATATCTAGCACTGAGTCTTGACTGAATACTAATGAATATAATGTACAAGAACTAGTATTTAGCATTCAAACAAAATATTCAGAGCCTTTCAAATACTCCTTTCATCTAATACAGCATCAATATTCCTGTTTGACTTCTATGAAGAAAGTAAATATAAAGCACTCTGGTTTTTGGCTTTCTATGTCAGGAGTTAAGAGTCCAAAATTTTATTTACATGCTCTGGCTGTATGTTGGAATAGAGAGAACCAGTGATAGTTACTTGCTGGCTTTGAGCTGGCTTGCTGAGTTAGTTGAAGAAATGTTTCCCTCTCCAGTTTTGGAGTTTGAAATTTGTGTTTCTTTATTCATTTGCTGTCTACTGTTAGCATAAACATCATTGAAATGTTCAAGCAGGAATTTTTTAAAGCAGTGGTCTTCTTTAGGTCTGTAACACAAGTCATGAGCAGTACATCTTCCAGCATCACTTGTAACATGTTTAATAGTGGTTCTTGCCCCATTTCTATACTTTTTGGCCCAGGAGAAGACTGGGCTGACAGAAGAAGAATGACTGACAGTCATTCATTCTTCTCAGAAGAAGGAGAAGAATGACTGACAGTTCATTCCCTGCATCTTCTATAACTGCAGGCTTTGTAAAGCAATTTATTCAGCCTCTTGGGAGCTGGTGTGAAGAAGTGATGATACATATACTTTTAAGAATCTCCTTCCAATACCTGTCTATTAATTGTCCTTCTGAGAGAACTCTTAAAGTTAACAATTGTCTTATTCTTTATTTGCCTTGACTAGAGTATCCTAGACAGCTTGCCCACATTTAATCAGAGACTGATCCTGTTCACAGGGGGGAAAATGGTGATGAACGAAGACACATTTTCTGAACTCAGTGCCCTGGAAAGAATTGAAGCCCCAGTGCAAGAGGGTAGAAGGAAAGAAAGAAGTATCAATTGTGAAAGTAGGAGTGGAAAGAGGTGCATGTGGAACCACAAGAAGATAGTATACTCATCATTTTGGGTTTTGAAAGGCATTAAACCTTGAACAAGAGACCTTGGAATCTCTCCAGGTCTTTTGACACTGTATTTCTTCTCCTGTTTCTACTTACCAGCGCATCACCAGCACATGGCAGAGTATCTTTTGCATCAACTGCAAGGGGAGAATGAGAAAAGATTAGTGCACATTTGTGTTGATGCACTATTTTTTTTGTGTGATGATAAATGTCCTAAGCATGACTATTCTTGTTGCTCAATAAAGTTTTTATTTTGAGAATATCATGACTTGCCTAACAAAACTGATGTAATTCCTGGTTTTTTTAGAACTATTTGAGTTGTATATGGATTTTAAATTAACTGTTAACATAGTTTATTCACAAAATAGCATTAAAAAACCCCACAAAATTTAAAAAAAAAGCACAAAAAAAATCATGGTACCTGGCATATATTCTGGACTCTGTCCAAAATACTACCTTTTATGTTTTGTTTAGATATAGTTTGTCAATAGAATCTTGTAGTAAATGCTCAAAGTCTCTTCGTGGTCTCCCCAATTTATTTCTCTCCCACACTAATATAATTTAGAAAGCAAAGGGAGGAATATGTAACACATACCTTTAAACACAGGTGATAGGAATACTTGGCAGCCCGCTCTGATGAAGCATATGGGATTTCAGCTGGTACTTCCCAGCTGCCAAGTGAGTGCCTTTAGTAGCACTTCATGAGCCCGAGGAGCACATGACTGATGGGGTTCCCAGGAATCACTGCTGTGATAGCAGCTACTCATGGAAATGTACTGGTTAGGAGACACTCTGCTCCTGAAGTCTCTCTGTTCCTAGTGCTGTGTCTTGTGGCTTCCCTAAAAGCCCTGAATTGATGTTGGTGAGACATCTGCTGGTGTACCTGCCCCTGCATACATACTTCAGAGAAACACTCCAGTTTTGCATCAGGATTAAGATGGAAACTGGTGTTGGATGTGAGTTTTCATCACCAAAACAGTCTGTTATATCCTTTTTGTTATATCCTGCTGTTTCCTGTCTGCTCAGAGTCATAGTCTTACTCTGCTTGACCTCTCTTGTGCCAGCCATTCCAGCTGGTAGATGGCCAAAATCTCTGGATGAGAGCACCCAAATGGAAACAAAAAAACCTGAGCAATCTTAATTTACAAAGTTTTGGAATATGGTCCTCGCCTTTTTGTCTACTCTTGGATTAATTCTCACTTCAGTGCATCTATGGTGATGACTGGAGTTATCTCAGTGTGCGGTTATGAAAATAGTGCCTTTTGCATGCAACATTATGTCATATTCCTTGGCCAGTTTAGATTGCATCATATCTGTTCCAAAACCTGATTTGCTGTACAGACCCAGAAATGTTGCTTCATTACAGGCATTTGTTTAGGTTTCTCACCACTGTTACTAAATCAGCTTTGTGAATCACAGAATATTCTGAGTTGGAAAGGACTCACAAGGATCATCAAGTCCAGCTCTTAAATGAGTGGCCCAGACAGGGAAAATGAATGTGTGGCTTTGGCATTATTAGCACCAAGTATTAACCAACGGAGCTAATCTCAGGTTCCTTTGTATTACCTCTTAGTTTTCATTCAATGTCTGAATTACCTGCCTCCCAGATTTTTTATTTTCTGTTATACTGGTAGGAAGCCTGAAATTATAAAAGGCTGTCACTCAGTTGTAAAAGAATGTAAAAAAAATTCCTCTCATCTATTAAGCCTCTTGACTTACAAAGCAATGCCTGAGAATTTAAAGACTCGTATAAGAAACAGCAGATTATAGGATGAAAAGCATGACCTGTTTGAATTTTGCATGGATAAAAGAGAATGCTTAAATTGAATTAGGGCAGCTTGGCATCGTACTCCCACAGAAGTACTGCTGTCTTATAAAAGCAGTTAGCAAGTATAAAGCAAGGATACAAGAAACCAATACCAATATAGGCTGGATGCCATTTGCTAATAAAAGTTGTTTCTGTTAAGGTGTGTTTCCTCTCAGTGACAGACAGCTCTACCTGTGTTTTGACGTGATTGCATTATAAAAATTGAGATGGTGATATAAATGCTATTAGTAGAATGCTGTGAGTGCAGACTTGACCTCAGACCTCCTTCCCTTCCAGTTTTCTTGGAAAGACATAATATTGACACATAGCCCCATGTGCAAAGAATTGTCAAATCTAGCAGTTTGATTGGGACTTAAGATAGCAATTATTGTTAATGGTTGGTGGGGTGTGGTTTTTTGCTTGTTTTTAGTTTTTTTTTTAAATTATGCAGTTATACTTAAGAAATTAAATTGATTAGAATAATGTTAGAAGATGAATTTTTTGTTGTATTTAAAACAGTTCAATGTCATATTTCTAAGTCTCTGTGAATCACATTCAGACTCTTCACGGGAAACCTACACTACTGAAGTTACAAACAGACATAATTTTGGCATTACTATATTGAATTGCTGTTGTGCATTTGTGATCATGTGATAATTGTTGATAGCTAGGGTGACAACATTATGATGGAGTCTTAACTCACAAAGCTCTGCAGTCCATCAAAAGTAAACAAATGCCTTTTATCAGTTGTAGGAGGGTTTTTTTTGGTTGTTTGTGGTTTTGGGGGGGAGTTGTTTGTTTGTTTGGGGTTTTTGTTTTATGTTTGTTTTGGGTTTTTTGTTTGTTTGTTTTGTTTTTTATTTTGACAAATTAGTTTCTATTGTTTTGCAAAGATTTCTGTTGGAACAAGGATTTTATCTTTCTGTGGGAATTTTACAGCTTTACAGCAGGTAATAGTTTACAAAATGAAATTAAATGCATTAATTTTAAGGTATTGTCAGTAGTCAGTTTTGGCTGTCTAATCTGCATGTCTGATGACAAAATTTTCATCTGTTCATATACCACCCTCAAAAAATTCTGATTATTTAGTTACAACAGTTCATTGTTTGTCATGGTCAAACCTGAAAGTTCAATGACAGATCACACAAATTTCTGAAAGACAATTCTAGCATTGCTTCTGTGGAAGATTTGTAACCTAGTGCTTTTAGCTTTACAAAACTCCCTGACTACACGGTGGATTTATGCTTTCTTTCTTTATATGCAGAGTAACAAATTAATACACTTTGTGAACACATCTGAATATTTATCAGAAACTATATCCTGTAGAAATGCAGCTCTGTAAATCATTTTAAGGGAAAATATTTAGCAGTAAAAGAAATATTCCACCCTAAACAATCAAGCTGAATATTACAAATTTGTGCTTCTATTAGTCATAAACCTGCATTATTCATTCCTGTCTTTGGAATAAAAGATGTGGGTGCTCAGTTAAATGTGCTGTTATTTTATGAAGAGACCTATAGATACTGTGGTTTCTGAACTGCAGGGTCTGTCCAAGAGTACAACACGTTGTTTTCTGAAGAGCACTTTATCTGTGTTGGTAATTAAAGGAGAGGATGTTCATTCTGCTTTTTGTCCCTTCTGGCTGGGGATTTCTTACTTAAACAATGCAATTAATGTTTTTGAACTGAAAAATCACAAGGATATTAATTATTGTTTATTCTTAAGTATTGAATTGCCTAATCTTAAACCTTACATTAAAAAGGAAATAATTAATAGCACAGTGTGTGAATGACCAGCTTGTCTTGAATGAGGCATTCAAACATTTGTATGGGTTCTGTTTCTCTTTCAGGGAAAGGTAAACTGTACATGTTCGGCAGTAACGACTGGGGCCAGTTAGGACTGGGATCAAAGAGCACTGTCAGCAAACCAACATGTGTTAAAGGTTTGTTTTATTTTTTTTTTTTGTCTTTTTGAAAGGAGACCCCTGTGAAAAGGTACTTCATAAGGTGCAGTTCCAAAATAACTGATTCTGCCATTTTTACTCATAATTTCTAACGTATTACTGCACAAGATCATAAAGTATCTTAAAAGGATCCCTGATCAGTTTTCCTTCACTTCCAGATTATGAGTCCTTTTACATCTGAAGGTTACTTCAGATACATAGAATCCTGTCATTTTTGAGGGCTCTGATTATATGTAATATTAACCTTTTCTGACAAACCACATCTTCATTGTTACTGCAAAGACAATAATTAGATATTGGACTCTGCATTGTTGTCCATGTGTTAAAAATCAGAGTTCCAACAGCATTGTGTAACTTTTGTGTCACTTCTGTCTTAACAACTTTGTAAATGGAAAAAATCTATCAGAAACTTTCTACAATTACTACTACATTTTTAGCAAGCTTAAGAAATGCCCAAGGGGGCATAAATGTTAATACATTTGTATGGAGCAGTAAGATAAATGCCTATATTCTTTTATGTATTTTAAAATAAGTTTTCATTGCACTGTGATCTTCTTGATCTTTCCTGGCTGTTTTTATCTTGTCAAACAAAACTAAGTCAATACTTTTCCCTATCCCCTTACTTATGTCAGGTCAGATCTATCCCATTAACACATTTCTTTTCACCATTAGATGTTTATCTTCAGCCTTTCTGCCAGCAGATCGATCTGTTAGCTTATTGTTAAAAACAAATTATCCTGCTTGTTCAAACTCTGTTCTTCCTGATTTAGTTTATTCTACTGTCCTTTATTTGCTCCTGTCTCTATTTCACTTCAGAGGGAGAATGCAGCTACTGTCAGGTTCACATCTTCTGTCAGCTATGTGAGAGATTGATTCTTACCTTGGCTTAAATGGATTGGGTGTCAAGTTTTGTTTTTACTGTCAAATTGCAATGGAGAATAAAAGATGAAGAGAAGATGACAGCAATTCAAACCAGACCTGGCATCCATTGAAAAAAGTCGCAAGGGGGGTATCTTTCTTCTCTTGGCAATTGGCAGCAGGAGAAAGTCCTTGAGCTTTTCCACTAGCCTTTGGTCATCACTTGGCTTTGGGAATGGGGTTACAAGGACACATTTCAGTTTCTTCTTGGAGCCAAATGGTTGTGACTGGATATTTTCTGAGAAAATATCTCCTGGGATTTGACTAGAGACTAATGGAATTGGTTATGAAAAATTGCCAGCAATACTGTAAATATAGCACATCTCATCAAATACAATTGATTAGCCTAAGTGGGAGGCACCTCTGTATTCTTTTTTTTCCCACCAAAATAACTCTTGACTCCTCTCACTTACATTCCCAGTCTTTCAAAATGACCAGACTGCAGAGAAGTACTTGCTATGGGTGGGTGGTAACTGAGCTGAAATTGAGACAGGATGGTACATGCAAAAAATGTAGGCACTAGTCCAGATAGTGCTGTCCTTAGGAATTGAGTTTAGTGATCAGTAAGAAGACAGTACAGAGTAAAAGTCTAGCAAAAAAGGGATGTGTGCATTAGAAAGGGAGGGTAAGACAAAAGAACAGTATGGTTTTAAAGATTTAAGATATTGGGGGAAGTATAAGAGGGAGTTAAGAATAGAACAGTTAATGAAAAATGTAGACAACTTTAAACATGCATTTTACCCTGCAACTTGGTGTATTCTTTGAGGCATATCCTGTAAATGGCAAATTTCAGGAACTGTGACATTGGGTTGAAGTAAACATTGTCAAGTTAACTTGGGTGTCTTAAGTTATTAAGGTCTGATCTGTTTTCTTATCATGGGGGAATACTAATTTAGTAAGTCATGCCAGGTTCAAATAGGCAAGAAATATTTTTACCATTCAGAGCTCCCTCTAGAACACAGAGCAGTTTGTTGTTGAAACACCTATTGGCTTGTTTATAACTTTCCCCCCCCTTTCACTTTAATCCATAGCTTTAAAACCAGAAAAACCAAAACTTGCTGTTTGTGGAAGAAATCACACTTTAGTTTACACAGGTATGTAATCTATATTGTATACATATTAAAAAGAAGTTTCTTCCCTTGCTTTCAAACAAAATCACATTAGGAGCCCCAGGACTGTTGAGGAAGGAAAAATAAATGAAAATGGGACTGCTAAAACTTGGGGTTTTGGCATCCAATTCTTAGAATGTTTGATTTATTCTGAGGCAGTAATAATTCTGAGGCATTTATATACTAATGTTATATAGCAGTTTGCCAGCAATAGACATAGGGAAAAATTTCTTGCTGGGACTTGTGGTGTGGTTAACAATTGTCAGTATTTCATTTAAGCCCTGTAAAGGGATATTATTATTTTTATATACCTCTGTTCCCAAATTTACCTTTGACAAGTAACATTTATTAGTGTGAAGTTATATATTTGAGTAAATATAGTAGAACTGCATGTTTTCAAGTCTTCAGATTTGTTGCATTTTTGTTTAGACAACGTAGTCTGCTACTTCAATGACAAGTTACTTTATTAAGCTATAAATAAATAAAGTGTAAATTTAAACTTAAAAATAAATTTGTAGAGAGACAATATCCAGAGAATTTATGCAAACTCGTCGTGCTTCTATAATGTATGTAACAAAATAGCCATCTTTGTGGTTGCAATCCTTTAGCTTTTAGTAATGTTATAAAGAGGATTGTTTGATTATCAGGAGTTTTATATGCATGGAGATGCTGAGCACTGTAAATAAGACCGTTAGAATAAAAAGAGCATTTTAATAACAGTGGAGTATGCAAGACTGCACAGGGTAAATATTAGTCACTTTTGGTGTACATATTGGCCAGATCGTTTGTGGCCAGGTATATAGCAAAGGACCATTTATAAATTGAATGTCAGTTGCTTATCACATTTCTGCCTGGATTTGTGTTAATAATGGGCCTTATCTGTTTCATCATAGATGAGCACTTTAGATGTGAAACATACTAAGATTAAAAATATAAATCTTAAAATTCTCTTAACTTGAAGATATCAGTTGTCAGCGCTAATTTAAATTTTAAGATTATGAAACAAAATACATAGTTCATTAAATTGAAAGTTATTTGAATATTAAAATGAGTAAAATATTTCTAATAAAAAACTAACTAAAAATATATTTCATTCACAGTACTCAAAACTATCAAGTTATTAATCTCTTTAATTTATGTACTAATACAGCTCCAGTTTTCTTGTCTGTGACTTAATTCACCATTTTCCTTTAATTTTATCTTAAAATATACATTATTTGTGGAAGAAGCTTCTTCTGGCTGCCAGGGTTACGGGTAGTAATTTCCTCAGAACTCTTGCAGAAACTTCAAATTATATTTATTTATTTATTAGATTAGTCTTCAGAATATTAAGGAATGCAGACAGTCTAACTACATGTAAGGCTTTTAGGAAGTTCTGATCCAAGTGTGTGCAGGAAGGCCTCCTTGTTAGCTACAAAAGAAACTGCTAATGTCAACTCAGGAGGAATTCAGGACAGTAGACCCAACACTTCTGTGATGTTTTTCCATTGAAAATTAAGTTACTTGCTCCAGTTTCTTCATTCTGCATGTTACATGTGCTCTTCTGTATGCAGAAAAAGGAAATGTGTATGCTGCTGGAGGTAACAGTGAAGGTCAGCTGGGATTAGGTGACACAGAAGAAAGGACCACATTTCATTTAGTAAGTTTTTTCACCAGCCAGCACAAGATCAAGCAGCTAGCAGCTGGATCATACACCTCAGCAGCAGTAACTGGTAAGAGCAACTGCCAGTAAAATCTGCTTACATGTGTCCAGCCTGGTGTTCCAGGGAAACACTCCAGCATTCTGTCTCCATATGTGGATGTATTTTCTGTCCTCCCTATCTTCTTTCATTTGTAACCATAGTCATTTCTTGATAACCAGTTGCCTATTTTAACAGTCTGGTAAGGGGTGGCAGTCTTGCTAACTTCCTACAATTTTTGTGAAAGTAGACCTTTTCCATGAGCCATGGCCTGCAGTGGGAGCTTGACCTGGACTAGAAATCCTTACAAAGGAGAAACAGTATGAAGACCCTCAAAATGGAAAAAGTCTTCAGTTTATTTCCAGGGAAGCCAGCTACAAAACATGAATCTTGCAAAAACTAAGCATCTCTAATTCCACTTCTTACAGCAACTATTTTGGTCTATTGGTGCAGGCTACAAAGCTGTGTCGTTCCTTAAAAATTCTGAGAGAGTCCAAACCCATCACCTATTTTTCAGGTGGCAAAATTATACCATTATGTTGAAGTCCACACAGTTATAATACTTTCAGCCACTGGATGGTGGTCCTATGTTACCCCATAATGTACTTTCTCAAAGTTTTGCTGTAAAGCAGCTGTTTCTGTTCATGTTTAGGATAACCTATTGAGGCTGTAATTTCAGAATGCTAGGCTGCTTGTTTGGTTCTTGCTTTTTTATGGCGATTGCTAACATTCTCCTGAGATTTTTAAGACAACTTTGAATGATCTTCCTTCCTAACACTGTCTCAGTAACACATTTTTTTATTCACAACTTATTTTCCACACCGGTAAGAAATATGCAGAGACAAGACCATTTGTCTTCTAGAAGAGTTTTCATGTTGTTTGCTACTTTTTTTTGGTGTGGGTTGTTTTTTTTTTTTTTTTTTTTTTACTGCTGCCATTGATCTTTGTGTCAGCAGAGGCTGGTTTTAGTTAACCTGCAGCAGGTATTGTGATAGGTCAAGGAAAGCAAAATTAAGCTGGACAATATAATCAGAAGGGAATTGAAAGGTAAGGCATGAGTAAGTGGGAAGAATAAGAAAGGGGTGACTTGCACCTAGAAATTAGAAGATGCTTTAAATTCACTGTGATATTTTCATACTGACTTCTGGCAACTGAATTGTATTACACACTCAATCTTCCTCTTTCTGAAGGAATGTTTTTACATAGTACTTTTGCTGTTGCTGTTTATGGTCTAACATCAGTTGATGAATAAGTGTTCTCTGTCACTTTTGAAAGGCTTAAGGGATGCTTTCTTACTTCAGACTTTGTTGCATTGTGCTAAACATAATGTCCTTGGGATCATGACATTTGGTAGTATCATACACAGTTTTTTCTGAAACACTCTTCAGAAGGTAGATTAACTTTTTATTAGTTTTTGTTTTAAATCTGTTAACTATCTGTGTCTTCATTTTAGAGGATGGGCAGCTTTTTGTGTGGGGTGATAATTCAGAAGGTCAGATTGGCTTGGCCAATGAATCCTATGTCAGTGTCCCCTGTCGAGTGGATGTTGGAAAACCTGTTTCCTCTGTATCCTGTGGATATTATCACTCTGCCTTGATAACAGGTAAGGGAATGGGAATAGAGGTTAGTGGAGACAGGACAGTAGTTTTCAAATTGTTGCCTGTGTAAAGTCATTTGTTACTTTTAAAATTAGTTGTTAAAAACTGCCGTGTGACAGAACGTCATCGATGTAGTTTTATATCACATTGGGGGAAAAACTTGCAGTTAATTTTCTGCATTGTTGTGCAAATGTACATTAGAAAGAATGAGTATCTACATTAGAAAGAATGAGTATCTTATCACACTTTATTTTCATGAAGGTTGTGACATATATTGTGGGTTAATACTATTGTTTCAAATATCTAACTTTTCTTGAGATTATTAATTTCTTTGTGATGATCAAATAATAGTCTCCCTCTTCTTTAGAAATATAAATATTGAACAGAGTTACTATGTTATGAGGAAAAATTAATCTCATGTGCTAGCAGTGCAAGGTTGTTGTCAAAGTTTGATGTTATGTCTTAAATTTTGAGTTTTGGAGTCAGTTAAACAGGCAATATATGGTATGAGGAGAAGCACATGCTACAGTGAGCTGTTGTCTGATCTCCAAACCAACCTACCTCTCTTTTGCTTTCCAGTTCTCTTCTCCCAACTTTCTGTTTGTTTCCAGAGTGAAGATTTCACTCTTTTTTAAATAATGCCAGCATGGGTGAATTTAGCAGCCAGTATTGATGCTGTTATGTATGAGCAGCCATGAAGTCCTCTCAGCCATATAGATTTACATTATTAAACTTTACGGTTTGGTCCCCTCAGAGTAATTAAAGATTTCAAAGGATCAATAGTTTTGATTGTAAAGCTTTTAATGGGTACCCAGGAGCTATTCCATCAGATACCTTTCTCAGGTTACTTGATAAATGTTACTTTTCCACATACAATATAATATTGCTCTCTGAGAACATACTGTTAACAGAATGAGAGCTTGCTATGGTGGACAAATATTAATTAGGTATTATGCTGGTAGTGTGCAACTTTTATTACAGATCCTTTATTACAGTAAATGAATTAAGTGCCTAGGACTGATGAGGAGCTCAGCACCTATTAGGGTATCTACAGCTTCTGAAACTCAGAATAAATGGGGAAAAAAAGATGCTTACTTGAAGGATGTGGTAAGAAGGTGTGTATCTCTGTCTTAGAGCCGAGAGCTGAAGCTCTGAAACTGCAGTGGGATGTCACAAAAGCTCTCTTTAGTAGCAGGGTTGAGGACAAGCATCTAAGAGTAAAGAGAGAACAGTGTGTGTTGCCAAGTGCTCTAAGGAAGTGGAAACTTTTTAATGAAAGAGAATGAGAAAAAAGGCTTAGGGTTTCAGCTGGTTAAGAATAATTGAGCCTCTCAAAATATTAATAGGAAGATGAACTCATTATCACCTGTGAAAATGAGGAGTTGTTGAACCTGTTACTACTTAAACAGGCCTGAATATGAGATGGAAAATCTTAATTTTGATCCTTAATATCTGCAAATCCTGCATGATTTGGGCTTCTGTCTGTCTCACTGAAACTATTGACACACACATGACCTTTTTGTGGTGAAAGTATAAATTTTTTTTATTACTTTCCTTTAGGCCCTTGCAGACAGTTTTATTTGACTGATACTTCAGCTACCATAAAAATTTAGTATTGGACATCCAAGTACTTTTGCCGGTTTGATCTTCTGTTGCAGTAGTGTCAGTGTGTATCCAGTGTTTAACAAACTTTGTGCATTTAATCTGAGTGTACCACAGTCACACAGTGTGTTCCTTCTCAGTTACTCGATACCATACAATTACTACGGTTTGACTTTTAAACATCAAATAATATACTATGTTTAATAACATAACATAGTTGCAGGATGTAAGACCTAATACATGCTGTCAGCCTGAACTGATGAGCATGGCACCACATGGTTCCCTTTCTTAATATGTTTATGTTAGACATAAGGTGTACACTAGCTAAGTAATAACTGTTAGGATCACAAGCGTATCTGAGTTAAAACTAAAAAGTGGTTAATGAGGATACTGGAATACATAGTGTGGACACAGAGTGCCCTCTCCAGGGCAGGATGTTCATTAATAAGTGACTATTGAGTAAAAAAAAAATGGTAAAGTACAGATTCCAGATTTTTTTTTTAATAAACTAAAATTGTTATTTCTTTGAAATAGGTGGTTTTAAAAAGATTTTTTAGTAGGCTTTTGTCTTTAGAGTACTTAACTGCCATAAAGCGCAGTGCAATCTCACTTATCTAGTAGTTAAGAAGGCTTATCACCTTTCTCACTTCTGCTTCCTAGAAGGCCTTCTTTTCAGACAGTAATTCAGCTACTGAATATGTTAGCCACCTGGATTCTACCATGTACACGTGGACCCCACTGGTACCAAAGTAGTTGTAGAATAGAAGAACAGAATATATTCTGAGTATTTTTAATAAAAAAGCACTTCTGAAATTTAGAATTTTATACTCATTTCCATATGCAAATTATGAAAGAGTTCATGTTTGAAAGACGATTGTTCGCTTTCTTTCCCTCTTCTTTGCCTTCTTTAGAGAGTTCCACTGAAAACAAGTTTTTAGTGCTTCCAGCCCTCTTCAGGACTTTTTCACAGTATGTTTCCTTTCTCTTTGCAGACTTAGGATGCTGGGTCCCAGCATTTGAGATATGTCTCAAACAAAGCAACATAAAAACAAAGAGCTAGAAGAGGGTAGCAACGATTTTGAGCCCTTACACAGATCCTTACTTGACGTGCCTTTGACCATACTCACTCAGGAGGGGACAGTTTTTCAGGAAGCATTAAGCTTGGCAAGCACGTGGAGCTCATTTGTCCACTGGAGGAGATGGAGAGCAGGAAAAGCAAATGTATCTAAACCACTGCTCTGGTGTCTACAGCAGAATTAGATTTGTGGAGCCAGAAAGGAGCTGAATATATTCTTATATCTTCTAGTGTTTCCCCTGCCTGAATTCTTACTGTAATCAAGGTCAAGATAAATTCTCTTTGAAAATATGTCTTTTCATAGAGACCTTTGCAGTTGCCATGAATTCCTTTCTTAATATATTTTGTCATTATTTCTAAGGGCTGGTTTTAAAGAGCATTCATCCCACAAACACTTCTGTACTCTGAATTTCAGTGTCTGAGATGGTTTTAACCAGTTTAGTTTTGAAAAAAATAGTTCTTTTCTTTTTCTTCCTCATTTATTCAAGGAATCATAGAGTGACCCAACTCTTTTGTCCGCTGTTCTCATTTGCCACCAGCCAGGTCTCCTATCTGCTCTCATCTGCAGGATGCACGTTCGCCTTTGGGAGACATTTTCCATTTGCTTGCCCATTTCCTTGACATGCTCCTGGGACCTAAAGTTTAGTGATACAGAAAATGTGCCACATTATGGAAAGTTCAACACCTGAGAATGTGACTCATATGAGAGAAGAAAATTAAATAACCAGGTTCTGTTGTGAACATAATGTCCTTAAAATGCAGGTGTACTGCACACAGTACATCATGTCCTTAGCATGCAGATTTACTGCACACATGCTGCACTCAAAATTTATCTGGGTTTGACTGGATTCTTTTTATGCTTGATTGCTATTCTTCATAGCTTTTAGACCACTATTTGCCTTAAAGGGATGCGTAATGTATTCAAAAATTGCTTTAGTAAATGGTTTTATCTTTGTTAGCTGGATTATTAAGTTGAAAAAATGTAATAAACTTGATTAGTTTGGGAAGTCAATGGAAGCTTGGCCATTTGAATCTCTAATCCTATTAATTAGATTGTGATTGGATTAATTTTTTCAGTGCAGTAGTGTTTAAAAAGAACTGCTGGTCTCTTCAAAGAGAACTGCATAAGTAGTTATCTCCCAAGCGCTTTTGGGGGTTTATCAACTCATTTCTAAAAATATAAGGTTGATCTAAGAGTATTAAAACAATATTCGCATTCCAAAAAATACAGGTTCTTTTTGTTGTTGGGTTTTTTCCATTGTTTTCACTTAGAATCCCTAATAAAATCTCTTTGTCAGCAGAATGCTTTGGTTACAGAAAACCACACATTGCAGTTGTTTTTTTCTCTTTTTAATTGGGCTGCTGTTTTAGAACAGAAAATAGATGCTGCTGCAAATAACTGCAAAGTGTCAGCTTGTTCAGAGTATTTCTGCACATAGATATAAGAAAAAAGATCAGAATTAAAACAGGAAATCAAACTGAACAGAAAAGCTTAAACACAGTTCATTACGATTCTTAAAAAACACAGACAGATTGAAATGACTGCAAAACAACTCGTAGAGAAAAACTGTAGAAGAATGTAAGAAAGCCTCAAGAAGAGACAACTGAGAGGGGACCTCATCAATGTCTATAAATAGCTAAATGGGGGGTGTCAGAGGATGGACCAGGCTCTGCTCAGTGGTGCCCAGCAACAGGACAAGAGGTAACAGGCAGAAACTGATGCCCAGGAAGTTCCACCTGAACATGAGGAAGAACTTCTTTGCTGTGCAGTCACCGAGCACTGGAACAGGTTGCCCAGAGAGGGTGTGGAGTCTCCCTCACTGGAGATATTTCAGAGCCATCTGGACACAATCCTGTGCCATGTGCTCTGGGATGACCCTGCTTGAGCAGGGAGGTTGGAGCAGATGATCCACTGTGGTCCCTCCCAACCTTACCCATTCTATGTTTCTGTGATTCTGTGAAAGGTACTTCTCCACAGACACATGCAGGTAACCCAAGTGTTAGAATATTATTGGGCTAGTTTGTGTGTGCAGGAAAGAAAATGTCAGAATGATAGAAAAAAATAAGGACTACTGGGAGGATGAAGTTACACCTCTGATCATGAGAGTTAGGAAATACAGCTGCTATCCTGTTTCATTGCCTTGCTGAAGAGAATGGATCTCTGTGAATAGATTGTGGGTGGCTATTCAATAGCCTGAGTCCCATCAAACCTTGTAGAAAGCTTGACATTGAGTAAGATCACATTAATCTCATTCCCTGAGTGCCTTCCCATGCAGTTAGAACATTCTGTAAAGGTAGCAAGTCCAGTTGCCAGCCTTAGTGGCCCAGAACCACGGTACTTGAAGAATCTTTTCTGTTGTGAGAGGCAGAAGTGATCTTGGAAAATATAGAAACTCTATAAAACACTGTCCTAGTTTAACTCCAGCAACTAGGCACCACACATGCTCTCACTCACTGCCCCCCACCAGCAGGATCAGGCAGAGAATCAGAAGAGTTAAAGTGAAAAAAAACACTTGTGGGTTGAGATAAAGACAGTTTAACAGGTAAAACAATAGCGGTGTGTGCCAGCAAAGCAAGACAAGGAGTTCATTCACTTCTTCCCATGGGCAGGCAGGTGTTCAGCCATCCCCAGGACAGCAGGGCTCCATCACAGGTAACAGTGACTTGGGAAGACAAACACCATAATTCCATATGTCCAGATTAGAAACAAGTTATTTAAACTTAATTCTGGTTGAGTTATTGCTATGGAACCACTGCCATATTTCTGTGGTTGGATATACAGTTCTTTTCTTACTGTCCAAACCACACACAGTTTTGTGTCATTTACTGTGATTTCTTTATATCTTACAAGAAGAAAGCATGGATTTTCCATCAAAATTCCATGCAAAATTATTTTTGTTTCCATTCAAAATTATTTTCTGTTGTAATTCAGATTCTTACAAGCAACTTCAGTTGACATAAATACTGGTTACAGAAGGAATTGTAACCTCTCAGAAGTAGGATGTATATGGTTTTGGTTTTCTCTTGGCTACATTTCTTGCAGGCTCAGTATTGTGATTCTGATCTTGGAGGGAGCTAAAACCTAGCACCTTCATGTCCCATCAAAGCAGAGTGCTTTGCCCATCTGTTTGGGCATTATACAAGTATTTTCAACTATCCTGTAATGACTTTTCTGACAGTGATTTGTGTCTGCAGCAGTCTTGACAACTCATCCTTGCTTCTGAGTGTATGCTGGAAACCATACCATGTTCCATATTTTCACAGGAGATGGTGAGCTCTATACTTTTGGAGAACCTGCAAATGGTAAACTGGGATTATTGCCTGAACAGCTGAAGAACAATAGAGTCCCACAGCCTGTACTGGGAATTATGGAAAAAGTTAATAAGGTTGCTTGTGGTGGAGAGCACACAGTGGTGCTGACAGGTGTGTAATTTAACTGGCTTTTTTTTTCAGCCCTATAACTTAGTCTTAAATTTAATTTACTTTAAAGAATTTGCTTCCCACTGAAATTAGATGTAAATGGGATCCTGGTTGATACCACTGGTGACACCACTTGTGTGACCTTGTCTTTATCAAGCAAGTTGCCATGTAAATGTCCTTTTTATGACAGTATAAATGATGTATAGAGTTGTTTTACTTATAAGAAAATCCTATAAGAGCTCAAATGACCAAAAGGAGTAACTTTCCAGGGATGAGATTTGCACAGCATACTAAACCTGTTCAAGTCCACACAGCTTGGGATTCCCAGCATCTGAAGGGATAGAAGGTTATTGATACTATCTTGGTTTGTTTTTTTTTGTTTTTTTTTTTTTTTTTTTTTTTTTTTTATAGTCTTAGCTCCAATAAATAGCATTTTAAGTGAACTCTACCTAATCTGAGAACCTTTCTTACTGGAATTGTAATAAGCCAGCACCTCCTAGTGCAACACGGATGATTAATGTATTTTTCCTCTGAGGAACTTGAAAGTGGTATTGCAGTGAGGGGGGAAATTTTGGAGGAAAGGTTCCATTCTGTAGTAAATTGAAATTACCTTGAAATTTAGTAAAGTATTTAGGAAGTCACTTTTCAAGTAGCTGCACTAAGTACTGGATGCCTAAGTGAATTAAATATCTCTTGTTGTGATATGGATTTTTCCTGTGCCTTTCAGAAGAATCTTTAGCACACATATAAAACTAGTATAGATACAGACATTTGACATATCGTACAAGTTATGAAAATCAGCAAATACAGCTGTTACATAATAGTTCACAGGGCCACATATATAGTACTTGGAAGATGGTGTATGTTACTGAACTGTTAAATAGTTGTCTGCCAGTAGTGACTCAGCTTTTCCAAGAGATGTGCAAAGCATTGCTGGCTCTTTATTTCCACAAGTTCTATCCTGAACTGTAGCAGAAGAGAAGCAGGAAAGGTAAGTTTTACTTTGCCCACAGATGGTTTGAAAAATATCAGCTTTGGCTTGTAATGAATATAATATCTGTAAGGCTGTGTAGCCTGTAATTGTTCTCCTACCAAAATACAAAAGCTATAAAAACAAGTTGGATGTATAGTTATCAGTCCCTAAATCTGTATTCTGAAAAGTCTACATATTCTCTTGTCAATCTTGTGACACACCTTTAAGATTATGTAACTAAAATTTCTAAAATATAAACTGAAAATCTAACTGAGGGAGACTGCAAGTAATATAATGTGATATTGTACTGTAAGCCATTGGAGAGAGTAAGGGTGGAAGTGAGATGCTGGGAAAGGCTGTGTGTAATGATTCAAGCTGAAGATTCTGGGTAGGATAAAATTCCTTTGGGAAAACCATGAAGAGGAAATAGCAGTAGCCAATCCACGAAATAACGCAAATATATGTCTACATTTCAATGACTTTGTCTCTCATCTTCCACCAACGTGCAGTCTTACCCTGACAGTATTCTGTGTCATAAAATAAATTTCTTTACATAAAATCAGATTATCATTATTAGCAAAAGAATTACCATAAATTGGAGGCCACAAATGTGTAAATCATAGCACTATTTTATGTGTTATAAAGTGAAGTTCTGCAGAAAGAATTTGATTATCATTATTGATTGTTTTTTAACCATAAATCTGAGTTCAAACAATAGATATTTCATTCTAATGATATTTCATGTGATAAAAATTCATCATAACAAATTACAGAGATTTAGTAGAAAGATGAAGACCTGGATGACATCATCATTACAGTGAAATCTGTACAAGAGCTAGAACAAAGAGGCAAAATATAAATGCCAAAAAACCAAAAGCAGTAGAAGAACATACCACAGTAAGGTATTTTCATATTAATGCATAATAATGTAAGCTAGTGTTTTAGTATGTAAGATTTAGTTGCTTATGGAAATAGATTTTGTTGTAGAAGGCAAATAAGAAATTCAGTGCTGGCTTAGCTGTCAGTTGATGGTCAAAGTGTTGAGTGCCAGAAGATCTAGTTGAGTCACCGAAAGAGAGAAACTGTAACCTCCAGAAAAATACATTTCCTAAAGATTAATAGTAGTTGTGATAAGAGTGGGAAGTCAGATAGTTGGTTTTTTAATGTGATTCAGCTGTTATTAAATAGGTTACAGCTGTGAGCTTCTGCCCAGGATACTGAGTGAAAGAGTAGAGGATAGTGGAAATACTGTCTTGAGTGAAAAATACTTCATCAGCAGTGTTAACATACAGAAATTTTTCTGTCTCAAAGCAAAATTTGGGAAAAAAATGTGAAAAAGGATAGGTATGGACAATAATAATTTTGAAAGTGAGTGTTACATACATAGATTATAGTTTTAGCACCAGAAACTTAACTTGAAATCACTCCTGAATTGAATCACTTGAATCACTCCTTGAGATAAAGTGGTGTGACTACAAATTGAGAATTCTGATGACATATCTTTAAAGAGGAGCAGAAGCACTTATACCTGTTTTAAGCTCATTTTCATAGTTAAGAAATCAGTACGATTTTGAAGAAATTCTTAACTTTATGTGTCATCTGCCATGAAAATAGGTGCTGCTTGGTTTTAGTAATACAACATAACACATACTGATGTGGTTCTCATCTTTTCAGGGTCTTTCCAGTTTTTAAGGATGTGGCATTTCCCTCTAAAAAAATAAGAAGTGAGTGTCTGACTATTGAATATTCCCCAGCTTCCTCTATCTCATTTAACATTGCAAAAGGATAGGAGGAAGTGTCACGTGGAGATGCTGTTGCATGTCTTGGCTCATTTCTTGCCATCATTTCTACTTAGGGTTTATCAAATTAGAAGAAATCATAATCCAGTTATCTTACAGACTACAAGGCAAATTTCTTCCTGACTCTCATGTGTAATTAGTCTATTCCAAAGCACTTCATTTGATTTCTTTTTTATGACTTATCTATACTATTGGCAATTTTGTATGGTAAGAACCACTGTTATCTGGGTTATTAAATGAATCTACTGTTTGGAATCTCTCAAACAAGAATCAGAGTAAGTGGTAGAAAGTACATATTAAAATAATTCCTTTTTTTTTTTCCTCTGAAATTCCAAAATAGGAACCTCAATTATTTTTCCCAGAGAGCAAGAATTGTTGAGAGCAATTATTTGGAAAAAAACCCAACTTTTTAAAGATAAATTTTAGAAATAGTGAATATGGCATTGAAAGCTATCTTCTTTACAAGCCTTAGTGTTCCTTCTGCCTTTAATATTTGCAGTTGTTCTAGAGAAGCAACAGAACTGCAGTTAAAAATTCTAGCATGCAAAAGCTTTCTCTCCCTGAGGCAGCACAAACCTATGCATTTCATGGCAGTCAGTCAGCCACTCCAAGAAGATCATATCCTCATCCCACAGGAGTTCTCTCAGAGATTGAAATAAATGCACCCACTACCCCAATGCTTGCAGCTGCTTCCTACTGAAAATGAAAGCTGTTGCTGTCATGACTCTCAAAAGAAATGTGAGAGAGCAGCAATCACAATTTGTGTACTTTTTCAGTAAAATGTTTTAACAGGATAATAATAAATGTGAACCTAGACATTGGAGAAGAAGAAATAGATGATTTGGAGTGGCCTTAATATCTTCCAGTTTTTTTCAGATGACGGCAGATCCTCTGGGAATAATCTTGTCTATAGAAGGATATATTACCTCCTTTCATTCTCTGAAAGGAGGGAAAGCAAAGATAGTTCTTCAAAGGAAAAAGTGAATTAGTCCTTTGAGAATAGAATGTTTGACACAACAATACAGCACATTAGTGCATTAGTATCTAAAATGTTGGATTTTTCATCTTCTGTCTCAAGGTCTTTTAGAAAGAAAGCCGTGACACCCGTTTGAAAGAGGATAAAAAGGATGAAAAAACTCTACCTTTTCCTGACAGAACCCACTGTTCAAACCACATAGGATTATCTAGATTTTTCAGACCATTCTTAAGTCTGCATATTATTTATACTGAAATCCCCAAATCTAATTACTAGCTCTGGTAACACTGAGTATTGTGTTGATAGATGATTTTTTGCAGTAACATTTTTCATTATAAGGTGTTTAAAAACAAAGCTACTGTAAGAGTGAATAGCCCATTGACATAATAGTTATAGTAGTGATAATAATAATAATGTTTGGAAATTAATCTGTGTGGAGAGGCCATCAAGATGATCAGAGGGATGGATCACCTCTCCTGTGAGGCAAGGCTGAGAGAATTGGGGTTGTTCAGCCTGGAAAAAAGAAGGCTTTGTGATGATCTAATTGCAGCCTTCCAGTGCCTGAATGGAGCCCACAGGAAAGATAGAGAGGGACTATTTATAAGAGCATGTAGTAACAGGACAAGAAGGAATGTCTTCAAACTGAGAGTACATTTGTATTAGTTATGAGGACGAAATTCTTCACTATAAGGGTGGTGAGGCACTGGAACAAGTTGCCCAGAGAAACTGTGGATGCCCCATCCCTGGAAGTGTTCAAGGCCAGACTGGATGGGGCTTGGAACAACCTGGTCTAGTGGAAAGTGTCCCTGCCTCTGGCAGGGAGGGTTAAAACTAGGTGATATTTAAGGTGCCTTCCAACCCAGGCCATTCTGTGATTCCATGATTCCATGATTCTATGGTATAAGCATACCTCTCTGCTCTGTTTTAGTTCTGTGGGTTTTCAAACTTTGTCTGTAGCCTTAAATACATAGCAGGGAGTACATAATTCTTAAAAACACTCTCAGAGCTCATACAGTTCTTTAAGCAAATGGCATGTTTTAAAAAAAATTATGAAAGCTATATAAATTTTTACCTAGGACTATTTTATTGATAGTGCCAGTGATCACGGAGATTACAAAATATGCCTGCAAAGTTGGAGGTTAAGCAAATACAGGGAAATACCCCTGTTCTTCCAAAAAAGGAAATGTAGGAAGAAAAGGAGAAGCAGTCCCTGCACTTAGGTGCTGGAGGTCACTTGGAAAAACGAAGCCATTGGCTTCTGTGCAAGCTCTGAAACTGTTTCTCTTCATCTGTCAAGGACCCTCCTATCGGCTCTTGCTGTGGAGAGAGCAGTTCCTTCCTCAAGGCAGAGACAGGACTCGTGCTCTCTTCCTGCTGGGTGGTGTTTCTGTGTCTGAGCCTTCTTTGTGATTCCCAGATGCCCTGGAGGCATCTCTCATTCTCCTGTGGACATATGTCCATCCTCTTCCCTTATACCACTCTGGTGCTGCCTTGACTGTTCCACAGGAAACTATATCAGCAAAACCCCCCAAAACCTGACACACTGAGCTGGGCGTGGTCACCACATAACCAGGTGTGCAGCACAGTGCAGGAGGGGACTGAAGAAAGAAAATGAAGGGGGGATGAAATCTGCCCTTTCACTCTATTACATTTTGTCTGTCTCAGCCAAACATATCCTTACTGGGACTGAGGACTGTAAAGAGAAGTTAATATGAATCCCTTTGGGATTCATGCTGTAGGCAAATTTATTTACAAATCCAAATTCAGAATGGTGAAATTCAACACTGTCATTTTATCACTAAGTATGTGAGGTTGCTTTGCCATGCACTTCTCTTTCCACATATTTTTAAGGACAGTTTGGAGGAAATACCTCATTTCTGCTAAATGAGGTTATTACTGATGTTTGGCCTCACTGCTGTGCCAGAGCAGTGAATTGCTTAAGAAAGGTGCAAGGTTTTTCTCTTCCTGTGCCCTGTTAATTGACTAAGAAGTAAGTTTAGGAGGAGCAACATTTGGATGCCTCTGATCTGTAAGAGCAGCAGAAGAAATTGTTCTTATAAAAGCGCTCCAACCTGGCTTGGAATCACCCCTTTCTCCTCATTGTCAGAGAAAGAGAGAAAAGAAAATATTTCCTGCACTTTCACTTTTGAGAATCTCTCCCACTAGACACAAATGCAGAAGACATTGCATGTTTCATGCTAGAATTAAAGATATTGCGAAAAAACCCCTCCAACTTCACTCAAAGTAATTATGTTAATCAGATAAAGCCATATAATTTGGAAATTACAAGATCTACCAGTTTCCAAAGAAAAGTTAAGACAAATGCAATATTTCTAAGCAGAATTTATGGAATCAGCCATCCTGAGAAAATAATTTGCTGAAATGAAGATGAGACTTTGGTTTGCTTAGAAAAAGCTCCTGTCTTGCAGGAGTAGTTTTTTGATTCCGGTGCGGAAAGTCTAAATGTTACAGGAAATTTCTTGTTTTACTTTCTAAAGCTCCTGAGAAGGTGTTGCTTTCTTGCACTAGAATCTCCAGCAGAGGGAGCTTTATCATTACATTTAGTAAAAAAAAAAAAAAAAGAGGTTTACTCAATATCCTTCATCTACAGTCTGGAAAAAAAGTGAGATCGTTGGAGTTTTTTACAGTGGGAATTCATGACATCTTAATATGGCAAAGTTTTAAAGGAATAGAAAGGGCAAAGCCTTTCCTAGAAAGAACATTTCCATATGTAGTGTTACAGTATTTCATCAAGGTTCTTTTAAAATTGGAAAGTTTAGTGTAAGGGTACTATGGTAGTGATTTGTAACCTGGTCTGTTCTCTGCTTTCTCTTTCCCTGACAGCAGTGAAGGATTAGTTTAAGGGAATGGTAACATGATTAGTTTTTAGTATTTCTCCAGTCTGTGGCTACTGTGAGAATTGGATTGCACAGTGTAAGTTACTTTTGTGGCACTTAAAGTTATTTTGCTGTTCCAGTGGCCACAAAGAAGTGCTTAGAAAGCAAAGTTTCTCCGTTGATTGGTGTTCCACACATTCCTCTCTTGCCTTTGAAAAGGGTGGCATTTTTAATTTGAGGGCATCTCTACAGCCAAAGTGGGCATGTTCTGCACCGAATTCATAACAGTGATGTAACAATATATTTTGCTCCCAAGTTCTTTTTACTTAACATAGAATATTTTTTTGTCCTTCCCAGTCTTTCCAAGGTTTTCTTAATAATTTTTCAAGTACTTTAAATAATAGTTCTCTAGCTTTTCCTTCATTGCCTACATGCAAAAGAAAAAGGAGCAGGGAATAAAATTCCAGGAAAAACTCTCGTTTTCAAAAAAAACCTTCTCTTTTCAAGTATGACCTCATCAAGATTTCCAAGCTTCACAGTCTTCCCCTGTTGTGATGGAGTGCCAAGGACGGACACACCAAGAATCTTTATTGCTTTGGAGAAGCTTTTATTCTTTTTCCTGGCACAGACAGACCATTAAACAGACAAAATATAAATGTGGAAAGATGATTATTCTGTCACAAGATAACACAATTATAGTCTTCTCTGTGTTTAGTGCAGGGCTGATTTGGTAGCTGAACAGAATACTAAAACCTCTTCTGTTCCAGTCTCTTCTTACATACAATTTAGTATTGGTTTAAAGAGGTCTTATCTATGAAATTTAGGATCATACAAGGTAAATGAAGGTAAAGAGAAATTAAGATGAGACTATTGCACTTGAAAATGCATGAATATGTAAATATTGTGGTCTTGAATTGATTGCAGTATGTAAATTTCATTATTTTTTTTTAACTGGTACCTCATGTACCTGTGATCAGTGGGTTATTTTGCAGTTATGTTAGAAAATATATTGCATATTGAACCATTCAAAATTTTCTCTAAATATTTCCTGGTTTTCTTTATTTTGTTATATGTTGTTATTAATTGATAAATGTAATTGATTAGGGCTAGTGCATTTTTTTAATTGATTAAACATTGCTTTTTTAATGCTGATGTCAGTTGCCTTCCATTTGGCTAATAGAAAGCCATTTACTAGATAAATATATACATATATATCAGCATGTTTTTTTATTAACTCTGCCTGTACAATTTCAGAGACAGATGTCTATACTTTTGGACTTGGACAATATGGGCAGCTGGGCCATGGTACTTTTGTTTTTGAATCTTCAGTGCCGAAGTCTGTGAAACACTTGAAGAAGCATAAAATACGTAACGTTGCATGTGGGGAAAATCACACTGCTGTAATAGCAGGTATGTCAGTGCAAAAACCTGAAATGAACTTCCAGCAACTCACTATTGTACTGGAAAAGCTTCTGTTACAAAATGAGCAATAGCAGAAGACACGTGCAAGTGTACTGGTTCTGAGCCAGTGAGGAAGCCAGATTTGACAGGAATTCCTGATTCATATCCATGCCATGCATGACTCTGTGCCCTGTATCTCCTGGGGAATTATAGCCTTATAAACATGCCTTGCTTTAACAAATATTCTTGTTTAGAAACCTTTGTTTTTCTGTACAGTTTAAATCTTATTATTTTGTTAGAGTTTTTTTTTTTTTTTTTACAAATTGTCTAGACTAACTTGCATCTCAAACAGTCCTTTGTCTGAAAATATGCATATTTTTAAAAATCATATTCATCTGCTGAAGTTCTAAAAATAATTGTTCGTGTTTTGGTTTTGGAAGAAAAATATTTCTTACTTTCATGGCCTGTTGTTTTGTTTGCAATGGTTCTGTCCTGGTTTTGTATTGAATCTTGGTTATAACATCCTTTTTTCCACATACAGAGAATGGCCTCATGTTCACTTTTGGAGATGGACGACATGGCAAGCTGGGCTTTGGAGAAGAGAGTTTTACAAACCTGTTTGATCCCACTCTGTGTTATAATTTCTTGAAGTTCACAGTGCTTTTGGTAAAACTTTTGTTCGTGCTTCTCAGACACCTTTTTATGAAACACATTATTAATGACAATTATTTATTTCTTTAATATTTAATTAGTTGACAACATAAATTGAAAGAAAAAGGAAATTATATATGCTTACCTGTTTAGAATTTCTTTGGTTCGAACTGCACATATAGACTCTTTTTAGGGTTTCATTCAGTAGTCTTGTGCTATAGTGATTTGGTCTAGAGCTGTGGTAGCCTTTAAGATGAAATATTTATTACTCTTAGATTGTTGGAATAGGGGGAAATTGATATCTTTTCTGAAAACACCAGTGTTACCTTTTCAATTGTGGCAATTTTTGTACAGTGGGATGTTTTTAAATATTTTAGAATATTTGAGATTTTGCTTTTTAGAATTCAAATGGGATGAGAAAGCAGGAATACTCTTTCATTTTAAGGGAATTGTTTTTGTCTGTTTTTTGAGGTGCAGAAGAAATAAGTGTCACAGAATTGTCAGCTTCAAAAATGCTAACATAACTCAGGATTGAGCAAAATTTGGGATTAAAGTCTATTTGTCTTCTGTTTGTTTACTGGAAATAGAGTTTAAGGAAGTCTAATCAGAAGTGAAGTTTTTAAACTTTTTAAAAAGTGAAACCTCTGATCTTTATGTAATAATACTACGTATATTGGAGAGATTATGATTTGCTTTACATTTTGTGGATCTTGTGATAAAACAACTAGATTTGTGTAACTGAAACTATTAATATTGACCACATTTGACTTATATCAAAATAAGTAGCTCAAATCTCTCAAAAATCAGTGGAAATGTCTGCCTGTTGTTCTGTTCAATACAAATATATTGTATTTAGCTAAGAAGAAGTGAAGATAGATCACTAGTCATTAATAAACATAATTAAATACTTTTATTTTGCTGATGTAATTAGGAGCAAAATTTGAAGCAATTTGGTAGTCTTACCTTTATTACATTTTTCTTATAATCCAAGCCCCTTGAGATGATTATAAGAAAATGCCATCCTTCTATTGATACTTGAAATAATCAGACCCTTTTTTGAGCTGTAGGTTGCTTGTGGTGGTTGTCACATGCTGGTTTTTGCTGCTCCAAGACCTAAAGGATCTGAAGAAATACCCTTAGAAGATTTATATGAGAATCCTTTGACTGCTACTATCCCTAAAATGAGCGGGGACTTTGTACTGGCAGACACCTTACAACTGTCAGCAGCACGAATGCGACGTCGGGAGAGGGTAAATCCAGAGCTCTTTAGAGCTGCCATACTTCTTTTAGGAAACAAAATCACTTTTAAAGCTAAAAATCACAGCATATACCCAGCAGATAAATACATCTTCTTAAGATAAGTGTTTAAGTTTAATGTATAAAAAGAAAAATTAATATTTATTCTGATCCCAAAAGCTGATGCAGGAAAAAAAGAGGTATTGATCAGATTTTCCTTGTTTATTTCTGGGAAAAAAATTCAAATTGGGTTTGCAAAATAGAGAACCTCTTCTGTTGCATTTTTAAAAAGTATCTTATATTTTTAAATGGTGCCAAGAATCTGACTCTTTTGTTGTTCCTTCTGAGTCCTTGAATATATTAAACAAGTGCATAGTTTATAAAATATATAAGGAGAACATTTCACAATCAGCTTAAAATATCCCTAAATCCTGTAACTGCCTAAAATAATAGTTTTTTCACCTTTATCTCCACTAGACATTCCATGTGATTTCTTTAAGTAGCATGATGAGTTGGATTATTTTACTTACCTCTCTGAAAACTAACTCTACCAAAACCTGCATTTATTTCATAAAAATGTATTGATGTTGTGGGTTAAATATCTCAGTGTTATTTGAGAGAGTAGTTTTTCATTTTAAATAGAAATCTTAAATAGAAGTTCTTTTTGCCCTTTGTCTATATTTTAAGACTGTTTGAAATTATTGTGTAGAAACAATCTAAAAAATTCCTTCTATGTCCACTTTTTAGGACTATAAATAATTAAAATATTGAAGATATTTTTTTCTACTTTGTATAAAAGTTCAGCATAGTATCATCGACTAAAAGAAAATACTACTATTAAATATGAGAAATTGCTTACATTTTGTTCTTCTACCCTTATTCTCAGTATATTTTTTTATCTTCTAAAGGAAAGGTCACCAGAACAGTTTATTCGAATGGCACGAACTCTGCCTCCACTGGGAAAAAGCTTCTTAAAATCTTCATTGCCTGTGACAAGCAACACTACCCCATTCAGTTTTTCTGCAACAAGTCTTCCTAAAGCTGAATCTGTGGCAGATGGAGACAGTGAAAAAGGTGAATTGTCCCCACATCTTGCTGCTGTTTTCTGATAAGTATGGTTTAGCTCTCATCATTCATAAAGGATGCTCAGTTTGAATATGAAAGGAAGTTTAAGTTCAGTCTTACCTCAAGAGTGTCTGGCAGCATACACAAAGCTGAGAAATGCAGACAAGAAATTGCCTCACAGTGTTCATGTTTGGAAAACATGCTTAAAGATTCAGGGGAGACTTGAGTGAAAGAAAAAACAACTTCTGAATTGCACCTGTGGTTAGGAACAATAGTAGAGACAGTAAGGTCTATAAGAGAGCTTGGATAAGAGAAGAGGTCTACTAATTCTTGCAGGACCTTTCTTCTTTACTTGGAAATGCAAAATTCTCTATTAGCTAAGATAATAAGGATTTATAATATTCTAGCTAATGCAAAAGCCTGGATAACCATAATACTGATACAGCACTGGACTTTTGCACAGATTCTCTAGAGCAGATCTGGACTTATCTGGGTTCCTGGGCGTGTGATTTCCTTGGAGAAGCAGTGCTGAAGAGTGCAGAATGCAGTGCTTCTCTGTAAAGGTTAGCCCAGCTTTATTGGACAGTCAAATCTCATTTGAAAGTAATTAATTCAGTTAAAATTAGGATGATTATTTGTAAAGCAGCCAGCATGTCCATTAGCATTTCTCATTCTAGGAAAGCAATGCTGTGAAATTTGAATTGCCTTTAGAGTCTTCCTAGGCCTAAAACCTCAGGTTTTGTGCTGTATGGAATAGTCTTATACCTGATGGACTTGAGGTGAATCTGAAAATGACATAGGAACATTTTTATGATGCTGCATTGGAGTTAAACTCACTGTCTCTCCATCCATTGTATGGGTAATGTGCAATGTACGTAACATGACTGCAGCTAATTTGGTCTAATTGTTACACAGTTATTAAAAAGATTATCCAAAAGAATCTATGTCCCATGTAATATTTATGCTTTGAAAGCCTGCAGAAATGGTCAGAGATCTACAGTGCACTGATTGCTGGTCTCACTATTAACCTCTAATGCTAATACTGATGAAAAGGGTTGGAAGTGTTTCTTCTGTGTCTTAGGATGGGGGAATGAGGAATCTCACTACTTCAGTTCTATGTCAGAAAATTAGAAATACTCTCTATTTTATAAGAGTGGGGTGTTTTGTTTGCTATATATTGCTTCTTCCTATGGAATTTGTTTATTTATTTATTTCCCCCTATTGTAGAAAATGATCATCAAAAGGGTAAACCTGGTGAAACCTCTGCAGAAGAAGATTCAGATGATGACAGTACTGACAGAAATCTTGGAGATACAACTGACATCCTAAATATGGTAATATATTCCAATACTGAATCTATAATTCAATCATTTTTTATGCAGAGGAAGACAAAGAAGCTAAATCATGTTTCAGGTCCTAGTACAGAACTCCTGACTAGCCCAGAATGTCCTATGTGACACGAAGTACTGAAAGTAAAATGGGCATGCATTTCATATCATCATTATCCAGTGCTGAAATATGTTATAATTTCCCAAGTAATGCTGTAGGATGAGATTAAAGCAGTCCAAGTGATGCAGCCCCTCCCCACACTTTAGCTCTGGCAATCAGAAAGTAAAGGAAAAGCATGCTGGATACCACATGGTATCTGAACTTGATTTTCTTAATGATTTCCAAGAGAGAATTTCAGGAAATGAAGCAGAAGAGCTATCTTTTCCTGTTTCCAGAAGAGGTTTAGTACAGGTGGAGCATGTTAAAGAGAAGACCGAAATGCAGACATTTTGATTATTTGGTGATCCTCAAGCTTGTTCCTACATACTTCTTTTATTTAAAAAACCTGTTCACCTTATCACTTTTACACTTTTTCAAAACAATTTTGTTTGCTCAGCAGAAAGGACATGTCCAGGCCTTAATGCAGTGCACTGGAAAGAGAGTTGGGTTTTGTCTTTTTTTTAGCCTTTGATGGAATGGAAACTCTCTGTGGATTCAGCTCTGAATATGTTGTCAGTTATGCTGGAGGGATTGCACATTTTACAGGAATTATTATTTGCTTGTACTTAAAAGTACTTAATAATTTAACAGTCTGTTTGTACATACCATTTATTTCACAGTTATAAAACTTGATTTACAAGAAAAAAAATGTTTTCAGATACAATGCACAGCATGGCCTTATTTACATATTGCACACTTTATGAGCTAGACTTCCTTCTCCTTTTAGGTTTTGTACTTATCGTGAATCAATTTTAAAACATTTGTCAGAATGAAACAGTAAATTTGAAAAAAGCCCATCAGGCAAACTTGTCAAAATACAAAATAAAATGGTTACTCTTCTTGAATCTAAATGCAAATAACCTGATACAGCATAGTTGCCTCAATTTTTCTAGGCTGTGGCAACATATCTTATTGACGAGTGTGACAGGTGGAGGAAAACCTTTAATGTCATATTGATGATATGAATTTTTGGAAGTCTGAAACCAGAACTGTGTTGAAAAAGAATATGGTGATTAAGCCATAAGCAGTTAACAAACAGCAGCAAAGAACATTATCTGGTCATTTGGAATATATGGGAAAGGATGACCAAAATCTCACTACACATGCCAACCTAGTAATATTCTACATTGCCTTGCCTTTTGGGTTTTTGCTTTATGTAGAAGAGAGATTCCAAGGAAAATTTCTGCTGTATAATGTTTCTTTGAACATATTCTTTCAAAGCTGTGGTGTTGAGTTGAAGGTTGTGATGATCAGGTGTCATATTTGTAGCCTCAACTTTGTGGTGGATGGAAGGTGGATCTCAAATGTGCTTGTGGACTGTAAGAAAGGGCTTTCAGTCTCTACAGACCATCTAGGCTGGTTACCACTCTTTATAAGCAGTAAATGAGGAAGTGGAAGTGAAATAGGAGAGTTTAATGATCATACAGATTTGTCTCAACCTAACTGCAATAATATTAAAATGTTCATGAAATAGCTCTGTTTAGTAGAACTGGGATTTGCTGCTGCTTTCCCTGTTAGTTATATTTATTTTTTTAATAAAGATCTTATTTTTTACAGACACATGCAATGAAATTGAATCCCAGTGACTGGTCCATAGAATTATCACCACTCCAGAAACAGAAGGTACTGTAACTAGTTATATACATGTATACTTGTACTGATGTTCAAAAAATCTGCAATTCTTGTGTTATCCTAGTACTTCATTGTTTTTGCAAGGCAAAAAAAAAAAAAAATAGGCAAATTTTATAGGCCTCCTCTTGCAAATTTTCTGAATATCCAATTCTAAGATGAAATTCTAAGAAGTCAGAATTTGTGCAGGCACATAGAACTCCTCATATCCAGTGGGGTTTGAGATGAGAGTATATAATGTTTCACCAGTTTAAGGAGCAAGAGACTATCATATACACATTTCACATACATACATTTCTGCTGGTTTGTTGGTACAAAAAGATTTCAATTGACTTTTGGGACATAGTGTAAGTAAAAACTTTACTGACAGGTATTCACCATAGATTATATTTAAAGGAGCAAAATTACTGGTTTTAATCACGAAGTTAAAATACTTTGTATTACCTTCTTGTTTCACTCCTAAAGTGATCCTAGCTTTTTGGCATTTTGTTATATTTCTTTATAATTTTATTTTAGATTTTAAAAATTATTCTGCAAAATTTGTTAAATAAGTGTAAAATTTAAAGCAGAAAGGCAACAGATTTTCAAACTTCTTAGAAAGAGCATAGCAGTGAGTGCATCAGAAGATTTTTCCAGGGGGGAGGTGGAGTAAGGTGTAAGAGAACTGTGCTTATTTCCTTCTGTTTGCAACAACCTCATGCATTGCATCCGCTCTGGCTCATGGGATGTGGTACTGGATGCACAGTCCTTCCTGCATTCCCTTGCAGTGCTGGGTTAGAGAGAAAGGTGTAGTAGCACATTAATCACTAACAGAATGTTATGTTCTCATATATGCACTGGTGAATTCATTTCATGTGAAATATTCTACTTTTTATGCTATTTTTTAATCCCTTCTCACAAATTGTTTTTTTTCTTGTTCAGATGCTTTTCTAACCTTTTTCTTTTGCTGTCATTTGTCTTTAATGCTTTTTTTTTTCTTTCTTTTTAATTTTCTGCTTCTCGTGTGGAATAGAAGAACAATAAAAATGTGAAACTGAAAAGAGATGGTAAGGGTGGGCTGAAAAATAAGGATTCTGATTTCACAAAGGAGGTCTCAAAATTAGACTCTGGCTCTTTACAAAAACAGTCCTCACTTTCAGAGTCACCAGGACAAGATTTAGAAAAGAGTAGTGCCTTTGTAGGGAAGTCTGTGGCCAAAAAAAAAACAACAAAAGCTAAACCTGAGCATACACAAAGTGTTAGTACTTTGAAGAGGGGTGTTCAACAAATGACTAGGGACAAAAGCAGATTAGTGAAAAGGCAAGAAGAATATGTGGAAAATCCTGAATTTTTCAGAGAGGATGTAACTTATAATCTTCCAACTGAAAATCAAATTCTGTCTGAAAAACCAAATTCTTCCAATAAAAAATCAAAAACTGTTAAATCTAAGCAATCACTTAAAATAGAGGTACTTCCTTCTGCATCTAGGGATCACCCCCAGACTGATGATTCCTTAGTTGTAGGAAAATACAATCTCGTTCAAAAGCAAGAAAGTCGAGAAGCAATAAAAAGTCAAAACAAAATAAAGGATGTTGCTGAAAAATCTGAGAAGTGTGAAAGAACGCAGGTCAAAGGAGAAGAAAGTAGTGCAGAGAAGACAGAGAAGATAGGGTTTAAAATATCTGTAACTATGTCATCGTCTTCAACTGAGGAAAGTAGTTACGATCTTGAAAAGTATGTGCTTAAGCGTAGGAAAAAAGAGGAGGATTACAATGAAGGCAGAGACATCCAGAGGGCAAGGAGAACAGTAGAAAACATGGAAGATTTGGACTTAGAAAAAGAAGACAGTGAGATTGAGGAGATGCAAATTAGAAACAATGAGAAAGAATGTGTAGAAGAGACTGATTTAAAAAGCCAGAATGAGGAAGAAACAAACTCTGATGCTAAATCTGATGAAGATGGGCAATTAGAAATTAAGAATGGGGAGGATTCTGATCAAGAGCAGGAGGGTGAAGGCAGTGAAAAGGGTGAAAGTGAAAAAGAAAAATTAGATGAAACAATTGACAGTGAAGGTAAACTAGGGGAGGAAGAAGAAGACAGTGAGTATGAGAAAGGTAGAGATGAAGTTTCAGTAGAAAAAGATAAAGATGAGGAGGAAAAAGATAATGAGGAAGAACATGAAGGAGAGGAGTCACAGGCTGAGGGAGACAGTGAGAATGAGGGTGCAGAGGAGACTGAAGAGGTTAATCAGGAAGAAGGAAAAGATCAGGGAGATGAGCAAGGCAGGTTGATGAAGGAAGAAGAAATGCTGAGTGAGGGAGAAAAGGAGGATATGGAGAAGTATGCAAAAGAGGAAGGCACTGAAAAAGAAAAGGAGGAACAGGTTAAAAGTGAGGGAAGAAATGAGAGTGAGGAAGGAGGTGAACATAGAGAGAGGGAGGAAGAAAGAGAGACAGAGGCAGAAGAGGAAGGAGAAGATGAGAAGGAAGATGAAGAAGAAAATGAAGAAAGGGAGAAAGAAAAAGACAAAGAAGGTGAAGAGAAAGAATTAAGAGAACCATTGGCAGGGAAGGAAGAAGATGTATCTGAAGAAGAACAGGAAGAAGAAGAAGATATGAGGACTAAGAAGGTGGAGGAGGATGGAGTGGAAGAAGGAGAAGAGGGAGAGGGGGATGATGAAGTGGAACAGGAAAGAAAAGATGAGGAGAAAGAAGGAACAGAGGCAGAAGCAGAAGGGGAGGAGGATGGAGTGGAAGAAGGTGAAGAAGGGGAGGATGAAGTTGAAGAGGAAAGAAAAGATGAGGAGAAAAAAGAAAGAACAGAGGCAGAAGCAGAAGGGGAGGAGGATGGAGTGGAAGAAGGTGAAGAAGGGGAGGATGAAGTTGAAGAGGAAAGAAAAGATGAGGAGAAAAAAGAAAGAACAGAGGCAGAAGCAGAAGGGGAGGAGGATGGAGTGGAAGAAGGAGAAGAAGGGGAGGATGAAGTTGAAGAGGAAAGAAAAGATGAGAAAAAAGAAGGAACAGGGCTAGAAGCAGAAGGGGAGGAGGATGGAGAAGATGAAAAGGAAGAGGAGGGAGGAAATGAAGAAGAGGAAGAAGGGATAGAAGAAGATGAGGGAGTGGGGGAGGAAAAAGAAGAGGGAGTTGGAGAAGATGAGGGAGAAGAGGCAGTGGAAGAAGGAGAGGGAGATGAGGAAGAAGAGGGAGAAGAGGCAGTGGAAGAAGAAGAGGGAGATGAGGAAGAAGAGGGAGAAGAGGCAGTGGAAGAAGAGGGAGATGAGGAAGAAGAGGGAGAAGAGGCAGTGGAAGAAGAGGGAGATGAGGAAGAAGAGGGAGAAGAGGCAGTGGAAGAAGAAGAGGGAGATGAGGAAGAAGGAGTGGAAGAAGAAGAAGAGGAAGAGGAGGGAGAAGAGGGAGTGCAGGAAGAAGAAGAAGAAAAAGAGGAAGAAGAAGAAGAAGAAGAGGAAGAAGAAGAAGAGGAAGGAGAAGGGGAAGAGGGAGAAGAAGAAGGGGAAGAGGGAGAAGAAGGGGAAGAGGGAGAGGGGGAAGAAGAAGAAGAGGAGGAAAGGGATGTAGGAGAGGAGGAAGAGGATGAGGGAGAGGAGGAAGAAGAAGAGGAAGAGGAAAAAGCAAAAGATAAAAGAAAAAATTATCATAATAAGCTTCCACAAAAGAAAAGCAAATCCAGGAAGTCAGAAAAGACAGAAAGTACTGCTTTACCAAACAGCTCTAAACAAACCATGAAGTCCAAACAGTGTGTAGCAAATGGTTTACATAATTCAGAACAATTTTGGAACAATGTACTACCTCATTATTTAACACTAAAGTAGAATAGACTACTGGACATGCATTTTAAGCTTCTTCAGGAAACTTTGGAACGATGGCAGGTTAATTTTTATTACTTAAAAACACTTCTAATGTAGTCAAAATACATTATCATGCATTTAAGTGCCAATTTCTCAAAAAAGACTGAAGAAAATGTTTAGATTTGGGAAGCTTTTATAAGAGAAATCATAAGTTGTTGATATAGTCATTTTTACAATCACATTTATCATGTATGACACAGATTTAAAAAATAATTGCTGAGGAGGTAAACTGTGTTTGCCTCTTAATTAAATTGTAATGTTGTGTTGCCAACATGAATTATACATTGCAACAGTGTGATCTTCTTTGCCTTTGAATCAGCAATACATCAATATTAGTTGCAGGACAGCTTACCTGTTACTGTGCCTTATATGAAAGGCGTGTCGGTAAATTAGCAAATATACATATTTTTAAATTTTGCTGTCAGTCCACATTCATTCCCCCTACTTTTCTTCTGTTCATGCATTGGTAAAATGTTTGAGTACTCAGCATCAATTAAAGAAAAGATAAGTTGCCAAATTTTGGGTCAGTTGATGAGAGGTAAATGGAAATGCAGGCCTGGGTAAGTGATGGCCTGGCATTTTTCAAAGGCCTTAAGGCTGACTTTTTGTTTTGGTGTTTGACACACAATTATGTGCAAATGCACAAGTCTCAGAATCTGGCCTAGCTTAAGTTAGAGTCAGAATGTATCAGTTCAGGGATAATTTTTAGCTTTCACCCTTGGTGAAAAGAATTTGAAAATACACTTGTAAACTTTTTTTACTTGTTTATACTGTGCAGTACAGAGAAGATTCTATGTCTGCCTACAAAACACTGCATTACATTAGTCATCTAACTCTAAGGTTCTCAGGAAGGGGAATATATTCTGTTGCTGTGTGAAGTATATATATGTTTTCGGTATCTGAGCAAAAGCTTCTCCTCATTGGAGGAGATCTGTGCTTTTCCCTTCTAAAAAAATCACATCTGTGATCTCTCAAAAAAGGTAGAGCTAGAAGCCAGATGGAATAGTAAAGAAAGTGGCAAGAAAGTCTGAATTCTTTTGGGAAAAGACAAAGTTAATACTTCTGGAGTTTCCTTAACATACACAAACAAGTCTTGCAAGTTATTTTTGTAAGATATTGCATTACTGTTTCAACTACTGGGGGCTGAACTGGCAAATGAAGAGATAGGGACTTGTCATATAGCACTGTTACTTAAATTCTATGCTAATGGGTGGTCTGGGACATTTTTGTAAACAGAACTCAGTATTGACATTAATTTTCCAGCAAGATAGTTACTTAAATCCTATTTGAAAATGAGAACAGGAGAAGAAAGGAATCAAGATGAGTAAATGTCATTCAATAAAAATGTTAATGGAATCAATACTTATGTTGGGATTATGAAACATTTTTAATACTGTTTTGTAAGATACTGGCATTAAACTATCTTTGATACAATGTCTCCAGAATTCATTTTCTAAAAAGCCTGTAGCAGATTAGTAGTTTGCCAGTAGATTGTAGTCTAGTTTGATCCTTCCTGCCCTACTCACCCCTTCCATATACTGCATTTGAAGGTAAGATCACTTTGGTCATGTGCCATGCCTAACTGCAATGAAAAGTTAATCCAGTGACTGTATTTTGTCCCTGTGAAATGTGTTTCAAGCTTTGGAATTCTCTGGAACACATTGCCTTGACATCAGCATGTGTCTTTGAAACAAGGTAAGTATCTTCATAGTCTGATAGAGTGCAATATTTTAACAGTTAAAGGCACTTCCCAAGAAAACAGCTCAAACAACAGAACCCTCAGAAGTGCTGCTTTGTCACTGAACTCCTGTGAAAATACTTCCTTCTGAAACTAAGTGAAGCTATGATGTGTTATTTTATCCTTCTTGGGAAAGATTAGGATGTCACTGTGATCAAACTTTGAGTAATATTGAAAAGTATTTTTATAGGCCTAAAACTGGGTTTCTTGGATATGACATCTACATCCTTGTGATTCTAGAATTCATCTTTGGAAGAAAACTGTGCTGTGAAAAAAGTCTGTTATTTCTTGTTAAAAGTATTTCCTAGAGAGAGGGAGAAAAAGGTGAGAGCACTTTAAAGCAAGTGGTTTCCAATTCCACATAGAAATGGCTCTTCATTCACTGTTTGGCTGTAGCTTTTAATCTTAATTCTTAGGCAAATGGGGACCACTTGTTGTTCCTCTCTTACCATGTGCTGATAGCATAAAGCTTTCTGAGAGTGAAGGGAAGCCAGCTCATGGGCATCTCCTCTTCTTTGTTTTGTCTGGATGAAAATTCATTGATTTGAGAACTAATTTTATGTAGTTTTGTGGATCATTCCTGTGGTGGGGGAAAAGCAGAGCATTACTCCAGCACTTCTAAGGGTTTTCCACTGAATCGTTATATAAATTGTACATTGTGCCAACGTTTCTGGGCTTTGATGGGACTTTGGAACTCCATTAGCATAACGGGTGGAATTTTATTTAGTTTGACTCATACTGGTTTATAAAGTTTGTTACTTGTGGTTTTGTGAAAATTCAGTATGTCCTTGGTATTTCTTATGGCATACAGAAAGATTTATGTGCAGCACTGAAGCAACATGGCAGAAATGCTCCTGAATTAGTTTTTAGTAGAGAAAAGTAAATCCTGCAATAGAGAGAGAAAACAACAGACAACTGCTCAGACATCTTTATTTCTACCAGTGGCTACTGGTGAATGCCTGGGAAAAAAATATTAGAATAGCACAAACAAGTAGTGTTACTTCTCCTGTGTAATTATTCAAATAGTACATTTAAATGTACCAAATACATTCAATATACTAATATACATTCAGTATAATCAAATACCAAATACATTCTGTATAATCAATAATTTGTGGTTCAGCAGGTATAAGTATTATATTTAACAGCCATTTGCCTTCCATGAATTTCTTTCAATTGACTTTTAACCCATTTAGCATCCAGAACATATTTTGGAAAATATTTATTACATTTCTTTATACATCATTTGAAGAAGTAACTTCTTTTTTTATTTGAATCCATCTTTTGGTACTGTCATTTAATGTCTTTGTGTTCTTGTATTCTTAGAAAAAAAACCCCAAACATTTATTTCCTCTTCATGATTTATTCCCTAATGATTGTCACATGGAAAAACTGTTCAGGTCTGTGGTTTAAGTCAAATAAAGAATTAGTCATTTATTGATTTATTAATTACAGTTAATCAGCAATCAACCAGCTACACGTTCAGTTCAAGAGCAGCAATACAGCAGTGATAGCAACATTAGACATCCAAAAAATGTTAATAAGCAACCAATAACTTCTAAGCACTCCTCTGCTGCTCATCTCAGAACTTTTAATCCCCCTGCACACTTTCACAGACTTGTTCACAGAATTACATATGCATATACTACCTTTTACAGCAGGCATGGATTACAAGCACCTCTGGCACTTTCAGTGGGGCAGGGTGCAAGTCTGCTCCTGCCTCACAGCTCTTGTTAGAAGTGAGGGTGCTCTAGGTGACTTTGGAATATGCTGTAGCTCAGCCCTTCTCTTATGCTTGCAGAATTTCAGCAGGTAAGTTTTTCCATTATATCTGAAAATATCAAACCATTTATTCAGATAGTAGTTCTCTTTGCATAATTGATGCTGAATAACAAAAATGTCCTTCCCCAAGCTACAGAAAATGTCTGAGTTTCATTCACTATTTTTTGTTCCAGTTTCTTATCTGAATAGATACATGGATATTTTTTAAAATGGGGCCTTTCAGAATCATGCAGAAAAGAAGTTTTTGTTTTCATTGCTTTTAGGGGTTTTTTTTCCCTAGTTTTTATTACCTTTAAGTAATAAAACCTAGGGGAAATAAAACCTAATACCTTTTTAAGATAAAATTTCTCCCAACATGATAATACCTTCTAGATCTTACCTCTCAAATAACATTATGGGAAGCAGAATCAAACTCAGAAATAACAGGATCTTCAGATCTGTAAAAAGGTAAAAAAAAGGGCAACTAATATCTAATCACAGAATTCAAAAAACTGAGAGTGTTTAGTACCATGGCATTCTGTGAGCAACTGGGCAAATACTTTGCTCAGACAAAAGGCAAACCAATAGTTTTTGTCCTCAGTGAAGTTCCAAGCATGTTCATGATCTGAAGTCACTCACTGAGCTGTAATATTTTCATACACTTCTTCATATGTTTTAATGGAGAGAGGAGAAGTTAACTTTTGCATATTGAAAGGATTTTGGAGAGATAGCTTTGGCATAAGAAAATTGCACTGCTGAGAGCAACAGAGGCTTTATTTTTCTACTGCCAGAAGAAGAAGCAAATACAGTTAATCACTGTCTTTTTTCTAAGAATTTATGAGAGTGCCCCTTGCTTTTTTGCTTGGCAACCTCATGCTATAATAATTTAAACAAATATTAATACCATTATCTCAAAGCCCCGTACTTAGTTACAAAAATATTTATTGTCAGGGCCCTGAAACGTCAACTTTAAAGGTATTTGCCATTCTGCCTTTCACGTTTTTCATATTTTTCCATCATTGAAAAATCAGAAATTACTCTTTCTGAGCTGGATTGCAGAACAATCTTCTGGAACATCCTAGGTTCAATGTTATGGGTTTAGAGCTTTATAATTTGTCATGACTACTACATCTTTCACACAGAGTTGCATTTGTGGTTTCTGTGAAATAGAAAGTATTTGTGATGTCATATGGAGAGTGTGAGAGAG